CATTACATCTGGGCGGATAGGCGGAGCCTCCCGCAGTCGCCACTACCGATTTGCCCGAACCGGACAGAACCGGCTGAATCCCACTTCTGATCACGGGTATCTGAGTGCCACCGTCAGTGCTCTGGAAGTGGTCATAAGTACCTTTGGGGGTGGGGGTTCCATTATAATTATAATATTATAATTATAATAACAGTCACTAAGCAAGCCATCATTAAGTGAGGACAGGCTTTTATTAAGTTCAGAAGTTCTTTTGAGTCACCCCGATGTGTCCAAAGAAAACGGTTGTATTTGCTTGCATAAGAACCTTGCTTTCACGATAGAGGGTTAAGGGGGAAAAAAAAGGGCTATTTTTAATAAAGCCATTTTAAAAGCAGTTGGAGTTTTTAAGAGGAACACGGTGGGTGGTGAGTTACTTCCCACTGTCGCTTGCATTTTAACCCAAAAAAAAAAAATTGTTTGGAATAATAATCTTTTCCTGCGGCGGTTCAATTTAATTTTAACAACATTCGCTGGAAGAGGATATTAACTCTGTTACGTTTAGGACCGTAACAAGGAATTTAAATCTTCCCTTCCTAATGTTTGTGGGCTTGACAAACTCTGGCTAATTTCAGCTATAATTGGGGGAACCTGCCAACTTGAAAAGTTGATTTATGAGGTGCCTGATTGCCACTGACCAGAATTCAGGTTAAGTATATGGTAGCGTTTGACCAACATGCTAAACTGTGATTAATGCCAAAATTATATCAGGTTTGGTGAGCAAACATTTTTGCGGAGATTCTCAGTCATCCAGGTCACGGTTGTCCCAAAGATAGATAGATAGATAGATAGATAGATAGATAGATAGATAGATAGATTTATTTATTTATTTATTTATTTATTTATTTATTTATTTATTTATTTATTTATTTATTTTGTTTGTTTGTTTGTTAATTAATTATAACTTATATGCCGCCCTATCTCCATAGGACTCAGGGCGGCTCACAACAATTAAAACAAACCAATAAAAACATAAAATACGTACATAAACAAATATTAAAACCCGTTAAAATAATTGAAAACACCCTCTGTCCAGGCTAGGCGCCGCGAACAGCCATGTTTTTAATTCGTGGCGGAAGGTGCGGAGGTCAGGAGCCAGCCGGAGCCCCAGGGGGAAGTTGATTCCAAAGGGTGGGTGCGCCCACAGAGACAGCTCTACCCCTGGGGGCCGCCAGCTGACATTGTCTAGCTGACGGTACCCGGAGCAGGCCCTCCCTGTGGGAACGCACCGGGCGATGAGAAGCTATTGCTGGTTGCAAATGGTCTGCCGAGTAAAAGATGCTTTTCCCCCCTCCTTCTTTTTTTGGCTTTTTTTCAAGAGGCCATTGGACTTTCTGGTTTTTCTTTGAATTTTCCTGGATGAGAAGTGAAACGTCTTCAGAGAAAAACCAGAAAGCCCAGTGGCCTCTTGAAAAAAAAAAGAGGGGGGGAAAGCATCTCCAAAAGATTTACTAGAAGTATACTGGGAGCACCAGTATACACTAGTGCTCCTCTATCATTTACTGTCCAAAATTAGGACGCGTCCAACTTTGTTCCGTCTCGAGAAGGCTTTGAAAATTTGTATTTTCCTGGAAAATAATAGGACACCGAATGTTATGTTAATTATATGGTACTACTCCCCCCAAAAGTGGTGTTATTAGCAGTGGTGAAATACAATTTATTTTACTACTGGTTCTGTGGGCATGGCTTGGTGGGCATGGCAGGGGAAGGATACTGCAAAATCTCCATTCCCATCCCACTCCAGGGGAAGGATACTGCAAAATCCCCATTCCTTTCCCACTCTGGAGCTAGTCAGAGGTGGTATTTGCCGGTTCTCCGAACTACTCAAAATTTCCACTACCGGTTCTCCAAACTACTCAAAATTTCCACTACTGGTTCTCTGAACTGCTCAAAATTTCCACTACCGGTTCTCCAGAACCTGTCAGAACCTGCTGGTTATTAGCAAGTTTTAGAAAATATACCTTTTCCCAAAAGGTTTCCACAATTTTGGTCCTCTACTGTAGCTACAGTTATGCAGACAGTTGCTTTAATCTGGCAAGATTCTGTCTGTAGGCCAACACCAATAAAGGAACTAGTCCAGATGTCATTCTTGGTTTTTTGGGGGGGCCAGTCTAGCATAAGGTGCTTTCAGGCTCTTTTGCTCATAACGATCACCCTAAAAGGGGGTGTAGTACAGGAAGTCCCCGATTTATGACCCCAATTAAGTCCACAACTTCTGTTGCTGAGCGAAACATTTGTTAAGTAGGTTCTACAACCTTTCTTGCCACATTTGCTAAGTGAATCACTGCAGTTAGCAAGTTAGTAACCGGTTGTTAAATGAATCTGGCTTCCCTGTTGATGTGGCCGGTCAGAAGGTCGCAAAAAAGGATCACATGACCCCAGGACGCTGTGACCATCATAAATATGAGTCAGTTACCAAGCGTCTGACTTTGGATCACATAACCCTGGGGATACGGCCACGGTCGTAGCAGTGAAAAATGGTCATAAGTCACTCTTCCCAGTGCTGCTGTAATTTTGAATGGTCACTAAATGAACTGTTGTAAGTCGAGGACTATCTGTATAACTTCTAAACACAGCTACTAATGTTATATTCAATTCTTCGTGGTAAAGTGGAAATTACTATATGCATCAAACTGTTCCCACTTAGTGGAACTTCAATATTCAGTTCCTAAATCTTTATTTGACCAATAAGCATTTTCAAGATATTATTTAAACTGGTCATCAATTGAGATCTATAGTTACATTTTGCAAAAAAAAAAAAAATTGTTTTTATTAAATATCTAAAATAGCCCCTTTCCTTAAACCCTGGCAATTATTCACAGGTTGAATCTTTACAAATTATTTTATTTATTCATGTGGGTACAGAGTATCATCACAGAATCTGAAATGTAAGCAAGTTTTACCATGGGTAATTTATAATATTTATGACGGATTTTTTTTTTTAAATTAAAAAAAAGAATAGTTTACACCGTCAGATTTCCAAAGCTCCAGAGTGTGTGTTGAATCCTACGTGCATTTTTTATTTCTACATAAATGTTTTATTTCCGAATCAAGATCATATTGCTGGTTTTATTAACCGAGGGAGCGTATTTGGGGACGGGGGGAGGGGGGAATGATGGATAGATAAACAGCTTAAAATATTTAAGACTCAATATTTAAGGCTCGTTCGATTTAATAATCTTGGTCTCGGCAAATTGAAAACTTAATTTTGGTGTATTGACATTTTTGTAGTACCATAAAGCTATGATTGCTTCAGAATGGCCTTAGTTATTGAATGAGTGAGTGGATTCCAATTTTATTTATAAATCACATTAGCATCCTGTCTTTCTTCTACGGAGTTAGTTTGCCAATCTTTATGTGAACAGCAGGGAGAAATTACGTTATGAATGAAGGCAAATATATGTCCCAGGATGATGTTGTGAGATCCAATCTGAGTTGATCACTGGGACCAGAGATTTACTCTTCCAAGCTTTCGAACTTGTGCAGGATCCCATTTTCAGGGAATTTCTCTCTACTGGAATATGTGCTTTGGGCACATGTGTTGAGGAATTGACAGAGCAACCCTAGAGTAGCAAGGATGTGCACATGAAAGCGACTGAGAGCAGTTGCGAATAATCACAGCCAACACACAGATACACTGAGTTGTGCTTCCTTTTAGGAAATAGTAATAAGGCACAGTCCAATAAACAGTCCAGGTCATACACAGATAAAGCAGTAGATAGTAAAACAATAGTCCAGGGATATTCCAATAACAAAGTCTTCTTACCAGTCGTTGTAGTCATACACAATAAACAGTTGCAAACAGTAGCAAACACAGCAAATAGCAGTAACGATCAGTAATGGTCAGCAGAGAGCAGCAGAGAGAAACTAACCATGTTTCAAGATCCCTCTTAAGGACATTGGCTACAGAGCTAACCAATCAGGGCACAGTATGATGCAATACAGCAATACAGTCTTAAAGCTATATTGTGGTTTTATATATTGCCAACCCAACAAGTTAGGTAACTATCATTTCTTAACAACGTGTTTATGTGGTGCCTTCCTATTGGCTGATTGGTGTGTTGATGGCTGGCGATTGGCTGTCTTTTCCTTGTGCTGCCAAGCCCACTTAAGTACTTGATAGGTTGATGGTAACTCAGCACCCATTTTGACTGACGAGGGGCCCATTTCCCAGCCTTCAATCATTTCCCTGGCTATTTTTGTCCCTGCTCGGCCAACAATCATAATTGCTGCAAAATTAAATGTGTGTCCTTGTTCATTGCAATGATTATGTTGGACCAATGGGGAGGAAGCTAAGAACCAGAATGCAAGAACAGAAGTGAGCAGTCGGGCGAGGAGATCTGAACTCATTGGTGGCTCAGTGGCTAAGACACTGAGCTTGTCGATCAGAAAGGTCGGCAGTTCGGCAGTTTGAATCCCTAGTACAGGTCTCCTGTGTGAGCAGGCGGTTGGACTAGATGACCTCCAAGGTCCCTTCCAACTCTGTTACTGTTACTGATAGAGCAATCAAAGTCCCATCACTTTTTATGTGTATGTGATGAATGTTTGCATGTTAAAAAGACTGTGGTTGTCTGGTCATGCTCACCATTTTGATACGTGTTGCCTACCTCTCTGTTCACCTTGTAGATTTGTAATTTTTTCCCCCAATTTTTACCAGACCCTTTAAACAGGGGTATCTATACACAATGAGGAAACATGGAAAAAGATAGAAGTGTGTTTCTTGTCAGGGTTCAGATGGATGCCCTAATTAAATCATGAACCTCAGCCAAGCTTCAAAAGAAATCCAGTTATTTTATTAGGAGCTTCATGTCCACATGTTCCAAGTGAAGCCAACTCTGACCCCACGTAATTTACGGCCCCAATCATGCCCCTGTTTTCCCCCCACACCCCCCACACCCTGGGTGTGTCATCAGTCACATTCGCCAATGGGGCAATTTTGCAGGTTGTAGAGATCGTTCCCCTTCAGCTGCTGTAAGTAACCCTGGGATACAGCCTTGAGAGAGACAAGTCTGGAATGTGCCTCTGTCTTTGGCTGCCATGCTGTTTCATCAGTTTCCCATCCCCCTCCCTCTTTCCTATGGCAACTCGAGAGCAGGCCAGGGATGCTTTGCTGAGTTGACATTTCTGAAAAAGTCTTGTGCATTGAGATATGTTCTCCGATGGTGCCGTGACTATGTTGTTGTCTATTCCAGGACAGTCAGAGTGTCTTCAGAGCTAACTGCAACAAAATTATAATGTTGTTTACTGATGGAGGTGAAGAAAAAGCTCAGGAGATATTTGAGAAATACAATAAGGACAAAAAGGTAAGATCCTCCGGTAAAAAAATATTTTGATATTTACTTTCCCTAAAATTATTTGCAATTTAAAAAAAAAAAAATCAAGAAGGCGATGCAAATGTTTCACATGTGTGAGCTTAGACCAGTGCATTAAAAAAAAAGGAACGCACAGTGGAATTTTAAACAAATAGATTTGCTCTATTTTAAAATAATATTTTATTCATTTTCACATTCGTGTAATATTGAATACAATATTTTAGGCCGTCACAAAAAAAAATAAATAAAGAAAGAAATGTGATCATTTAAGGAGATAACAGAAACTATGTCACAGCTGGGGTAGCACCAGATTGACCATCTGGGCTCAGAAGCTAAGCAGGATCTGGTCTGATTAGTTTTTGGATGGGAGACACTCTGGAAATGCCAAAGCTGTAGGCCAGATTGCAAAGTTGAGAAACATTCCGGAAGGAGGCTGAAGTCAACTTTCAATTGTTGCCAAGAAAACTGGTTGGACGTGTCTGTGTGTCACCCGGATTTGAAATTCCAAGTCTCTTGACTTTCAAAAGATTGTAATAGATCTCAATCACGCCATTTTGAGTTCTCTGTTCAAACAATCTCAAATCCACTCTAACAACATACTACCTTCACTCAACGCCATCTTCACTACCCCACCTTTCCAAATGTTGTTAATTAGGTGGTAAGATCCCTAGCCTAATAGAATAGAATAACAGAGTTGGAAGGGACCTTGGAGGTCTTCTAGTCCAACCCCCTGCGTAGGCAGGAAACCCTACACCACTTCAGACAAATGGTTACCCAACAGCTTCTTAAAAACTTCCAGTGTTGGATCATGCACAAATTCTCGAGGCAAGTTGTTCCACTTATTAATTGTTCTAACTATCAGGAAATTTCTTCTTAGTTCTAAGTTGCTTCTCTCCTTGATTAGTTTCCACCCATTGCTTCTTGTTCTGCCCTCAAGTGCTTTGGAGAATAGCTTGACTCCCTCTTCTTTGGGGCAGCCCCTGAGATATTGGAAGACTGCTATCATGTCTCCCCTGGTCCTTCTTTTCATCAAACTAGACATACCCAGTTCCTGCAAACGTTCTTCATATGTTTTAGCCTCCAGTCCCTTAATCATACTGGTTGCTCTTCTCTGCACTCTTTCTAAAGTGTCAACATCTTTTTTACATCGTGGCAACCAAAACTGAATACAGTATTCCAAGTGTGGCCTTACCAAGGCATTGTAAAGTGGTATTAACACATCACGAGATCTTGATTCTATCCCTCTGTTGATGCAGCCTAGAACTGTGTTGGCTTTTTTGGCAGTTGCTGCACACGGCTGGCTCATATTTAACTGGTCATCCACTAGGACTCTAAGATCCCTCTCACAGTTACTACTGTTGAGCAAGGTACCACATATATGGTACCTGTGCCTTTTATTTTTCTTGCCTAAATGCCTAATGGAGTTGGGAGTCCCTCAACTTTCATTTCATGGCAGGAGCTGAGGAGAGAGGACACGATATCCCCTTTCAGCTTTCACATATTCTGGAAGAACGCTTCATCAAGGGCCTTCAAGATCAACTTCATGACATTAGCTGTTTTATAGTTTTCACTGAAATCTCTCCTCCCCTGTCCCCTGTCCTTGGACCTCCCATCCCTTCTTGGTAGATTGCTGTCACCAGCAAAACTGCAGCAATAGAAGATCCATGGTGGTAGTGCCATGTCTGTTCTACAGTTGGGGACCCAATAACTTTGTTGTTGTTGTTGTTGTTAGTTGCGAAGTCATGTCCGACCCATCACGACCCTATGGACAACGTTCCTCCAGGCCTTCCTGTCCTCTACCATCCTCTGGAGTCCATTTAAGGTCACGCCGACTGCTTCAGTGACTCCATCCAGCCACCTCGTTCTCTGCCGTCCCCTTCTTCTTTTGCCCTCCATCGTTCCCAGCATTAGACTCTTCTCCAGGGAGTCCTTCCTTCTCATTAGGTGGTCAAAGTATTTGAGTTTCATCTTCAGGATCTGGCCTTCTAAAGAGCAGTCAAGAAGACTGCTATCATGTCTCCCTTAGTCCTTCTCTTCATCAAACTAGACATACCCAGTTCCTGCAACCATTCTTCATATGTTTTAGCTCTAATCATCCCCTAATCCTCTTTGTTGCTCTTCTCTGCACTTTTTCCAAAGTCTCAAAGAAGACCAACTAAAACAATTAAAGGCCTGGAAACGAAAACAACTGAAGAATGGCTGCAGAAATTGGAAACTAGATATGGCTAGTCTAAGAGAAAAGAAGGGCCAAGGGTGATATTACAGCAATATTCCAATATTTGAGAGTCTCCCATCGCAGTTCCTTTCACGCCTTCTGCTGGACATCTGAAATTCTAATTTTGGGGGCTACTCAACCAGCCGCTGCTGTTTAGAACGAGCAGGAAGCCCTTGATTGAAATCGTTTCTGACATGTAGTGGCCAGAGACAGCAATTATAGCCAGATCTTAGGTCATTGATTGATAAGAAGACTAACCACCTTAAATCATGTCAGGCAAGCTCTTCCTTGTAATTGAATTTAAAATCTCAGCTAAGTGGTCCGTCCCTTTGCAGAAATGTCTTTGCAGGAATGAATAATTGCGGGCGGTGACTGCTTGTTCGCGCATTCATTTATTTAATCCACGGTCTGCGCGTAGAATGTCCGAGCATCTGCCGAACGACACGGGCTGATTAAAATCCCGTTTTTATAAAGCCCCCGGTTACGTGAAATAGGCCTGAATTGGTAATAACTCGGCTGTCTGGAAGATTGTTCAATTCCACCGATGATATATTGGGGGGTTTTTCTTTGCAAACATTTTCAATGCTCCGGGCTTACAGTGGCGGGAGTCAATTTCGTATTTAAGCTGATTTGACCTCGAGGGAAATCTAAGACAGTTGTGAAGGGAGAGATGGATCTCATTATGGAATGAGGTGCGATGTGCCTTTTTGTTCTATTTTTCAAAAGACGGTGCGGGCTTTTGTACTGAGAAAATACATATTTGAGGGGAACGAGGATTTATTTCAGATACTGCTCGTTTGAGTCAAGCAATCAATGCAGTGCAGCTATGCGCCCCTTCATCCTTAGGAATGTTGTAACTCCCGGTAATTATTTGAAGAATTCATTGGATGGAAAATTAAAATGCACACACACACAAAGACATATTTGAGCCACGGTGGCGCAGTGGTTGAAGTGCAGTACTGCAGGCTATTTCTGCTGCCTGCCGGCTGCCTGCAATTTGGCAGTTCGAAACTCACCAGGCTCAAGGCTGACTCAGCGTTCCGTCCTTCCGAGGTGGGTAAAATGAGGACCCAGATTGTTGGGGGCAAGAGGCTGACTCTGTAAACCGCTCAGAGAGGGCTATAAAGCACTGTGAAGCGGTCTATAAGTCTAAGTGTTATTGGGAAGGAGGGAAGGAAGGAAGGAAGGAAGGAAGGAGGGAGGGAGGGAGGGAGGAAGGAAGGAAGGAAGGAAGGAAGGAAGGAAGGAAGGAAGGAAGGAAGGAAGGAAGGAAGGAATATATATATATATATATATATATATATTGATTTTGATATATATGCTGCCCTTCTCCGGAGACTCAGGGCGGCTTACAATGCGCTAAGTAATCACCTTCATACTTTTGTATATTTTATACAAAGTCAGCTTATTGCCCCCACAAACTGGGTCCTCATTTTACCCACCTTAGAAAGGATGGAAGGCTGAGTCGACCTTGAGCCTTGGAGAGATTCGAACCAGCAGAAATTGCAGGCAGCTGTGTTAATAACAGGGTGCGTAGACCACTGTACTATCAAGGCTATATAAGTTTAAAGGCTATTGCTTTTCTCAGAAAAAGGGGTTCAAACAATTCACAGAGTTCCCCCTTCACATGAAGGCAGGAGTCTTGCTTAGATTGTGAGATTCTATCTCCTAAACCCTTATTTCTTGATATTAAACCCACTTTATGAAGTTCCATGTAAACGAACCAGTGTCAGAACCTTAACAATGTACTGTGAAGCCGGTTGTATGATAGGATCATAGTTCGTGTTCAACCCAACCAGGGGTCAGATTGAAAAATTTTAGCAGCCAGTTCTCTGCCTGGGTGGGCATGGCCATGGGGGCTTGGCCTACTCGGCCTCCTGCACCATGGCCAGGGGTATTTTTTCACCCTCCCCAGGCTCCAGAGGCTTTTCTCAAGACTCTGGGAGGGTGAAAACCGCCTTCCCTGGGCTCTAGAGGCCCTCCGGAGACCAGAAATGGGGCTGTTTATGGACTTCTGGTACTTCTGTTACTTCCGATAGACCCGTTTTTCGCCCTCCCAGAGCCTCCACGCAAGCTGCATGGAGACTCCAGGGAGGGGAGGGGTGGGGTGGGGTGGGGCAGGGTCACCCACTCCTTGCAACTACCGGTTCGGCGAAACAGATGTAATATTAGCATCCGGTTTTCCCGAACTGCTCCGAACCGGCTGAATCCCACTCCTGAACCCAATATACATAAGAGGCCTTTTCAGATTTGGAGATGAATAACCCGACTGTTGAACTAGAGATAAATTTAAAGACTTTTTCAGGCTGAAGTTTTAGTCCAACTTCTCTACTGATCCTAGCTCTCTTGTTGACAATTTTCAGTCTTAATTGGCCCCAAAATGTAGAATCCAAATTAGCTTCCTCTCGTATTCTCTTTGAATGCCTTATTACCTTTTAAAAATGAAACATCTTTTTTTTAGACAAGGAACTTTACATGGTGAGCTTCAACAGGATCTAGGCAAATTGCCTGATACCATTTTACCCACAAGGGTTTTAAAAAACTTTTTCCAAGTAAAGGTAAAAGGTAAAGGTTCCCCTTGCACATATGTGCTAGTCGTTCCTGACTCTAGGGGGCGGTGCTCATCTCCGTTTCAAAGCCGAAGAGCCACCACGGTCTGAAGACGTCTCCGTGGTCCTGTGGCCGGCATGACTCAACGCCAAAGGCGCACGGAACGCTGTTCCCTTCCCACCAAAGGTGGTCCCTATTTTTCTACTTGCATTTTTTACGTCCTTTCGAACTGCTAGGTTGGCAGAAGCTGGGACAAGTCACGGGAGCTCACCCCGTTACGCGGCACTAGAGATTCGAACCGCTGAACTGCCGACCTTTCGATCGACAAGCTCTGCATCTTAGCCACTGGTATCCACAGGGTATCCTTAAGATTTATATTGACTGTTTCCTAATATGATCTGATTGCTTATTTGTTATTTGTTCCCTATGACTATCATTGTAAGTGTTGTACCTTATGATTCTTGATGAATGCATCTTTTCTTTTATGTACATCGAGAGCGAATGCACCAAAGACAATTTCCTTGAGTGTCCAATCACACTTGGCCAATAAAGAATTCTATTCTATTCTATTTAAAAAAAAAAAAAAAAAAACTAGAAAGTTTTTGTCGTTCTCCAACAGCTCTTCCACTAGATGGCAGCCATTATTTAATGATGTTGTAGTATCAACCCATCATTATTTTTCCTGGCAAAGTCCCCCCCCCCACCCTTATATCGTTTCCTATTAACGCTCATGAATATGTTCAAAAGCTTATTAGCATTGCTAATAATAAAAATCCAGCCATATTATACTCACAGCAGCATTTTTAGACGATATTTATCAAACACACCCACACACACATATATATATTTCTGTTTTAGGTCCGTGTGTTTACATTTTCTGTTGGTCAACATAATTATGACAAAGGACCCATACAGTGGATGGCCTGTGAAAATAAAGGTATTGTGGGTTTATATGGATGAATAAATGAATAAAGGCTTTATAACAAGCCACAGTTTATACTTATTTATTATGATAACGTTGTTGCTTAGTGCCCTCTGATTCTTTTAAGCCTATAAAGGAGAATATTTGCAGTTCAGGGTAAAAAGAGAGCAAACCACACTCCCTGATAGGACTGATGATGTTACCTAGTTGGGTAATGAAACATCTGCAAAAAAACAACCAAGCTCAGAGAGCATCAAGGACCCAACAGTCAACCTCCTCCTTCTCCTCCACTACTACTACTACTACTACTACTACTACTACTACTACTACTACTTCTTCTTCTTCTTCTTCTTCTTCTTCTTCTTCTTCTTCTTCTTCTCCTCCTCCTCCTCCTCCTCCTCCTCCTCTTCTTCTTCTTCTCCTCCTCCTCCTCTTCTTCTTCTCCTCCTCCTCTTCTCCTCCTCCTCTTCTCCTCCTCCTCCCTCCTCCTCTTCTCCTCCCCCTCCTCCTCCTCTTCTTCTCCTCCTCCTCCTCGTCTTCTTCTCCTCCTCCTCCTCTTCCTCCTCTTCTTCTCCTCCTCCTCCTCCCCTCCTCCTCCTCCTCCTCCTCTTCTTCTTCTCCTCCTCCTCTTCCTCCTCCTCCTCCCCTCCTCCTCCTCTTCTTCTCCTCCTCCTCCTCCTCCTCCTCCTTTCCTCCTTCCTCCTCCTCCTCCTCTTCTTCTTCTCTTCTTCCTCCTCTCCTCCTCCTCCTTCTCTTCTTCTTCTCCTCCTCCTCCTCCCCTCCTCCTCCTCCTCCTCCTCCCCTCCTCCTCCTCCTTCCTCCTCCTCCTCCTCCTCCCCCCCTTCTACACAAACCCCTCTTCCTTCTAGAACTGCTGATGTTACCTCAATGGGTCATGAAACGTCTACAAGGAAACAAGCAAGATCAGAGAGCACCAAGCTAAAATAACGTTTTAATCCTAAGAACAATAGAATACTAATAAAGCAGGTAGTGAAATATGGAAAACCCGTATTTTCTCTTATGTATAAAATCAGGTTTGTGTCCTTTATTTACTATTTATGGACTTCATGTAGTCTTGTTAGTTCTGTATCCTCTCCCTTGCTAAATCGGAATATAAAGGCAAACTTAATGCTTGCATCATTAAAGGTACATTTTTACAGGTTTTATTTATGTGAAGAAGCTCACTTACAATTTATTGTAAATGATTGCCAATTTATTGGGAGACAAAAAAGTGTAGGAAAAAAATCACCAGGAAATTTACATGAGTGATTTTTAAATGTATATGGCTTCCGAATTTGAATTTCACCGTCTCTTCTGCTGTTGACTCCATGTTCGTAGTCCTAATATTTCTAGTGTTTCGCCTGGAAATCGACATTTCATTAAAACTCAAATTCCTGCATTTAAATTTTCTATTTCAGGTTACTATTATGAAATTCCTTCCATTGGCGCCATAAGAATAAACACACAGGTATGTTTGTATTTTTTGCAGTAATTTATTAATCAGGAATGCCAGTTCTAAAGTAGAAGAAATTAAAATTCATCTATATACAATAGCTAGTAAAAAAAAACAAAAAAAACTCATATAAAGAATTGTTTGAGGGAAAAATATCGATCCGTTGGTTTTGATAGGAACTGACCAATCAATCTTGTCACCCAATCCTGACAATTTGAGCTGAGAGAGAGGGAGTGGGTCTAGAACTCACAGTCTCCTGGTGATTGGCCCAAAGTCACCCAGCCGGCTTTCATGTCTAAGGAGGGACTAGAACTCACAGTCGCCTGGTGATTGGCCAAAGGTCACCCAGCTGGCTTTCATGTCTAAGGTGGGACTAGAACTCACAGTCGCCTGGTGATTGGCCCAAAGTTACCCAGCTGGCTTTCATGTGTAAGGAGGGACTAGAACTCACAGTTGCTTGGTGATTGGCCCAAAGTCACTCAGCTGGCTTTCATGTCTAAGGTGGGACTAGAACTCACAGTTGCCTTCCAAAGTGCTGGGGTATGGGATAGCTCACAGCCTGGTGATTGGCCAAAGTCACCCAGCTGGCTTTCATGTCTAAGGTGGGACTAGAACTCACAGTTGCCTGGTGATTGGCCCAAAGTCACCCAGCTGGCTTTCATGTCTAAGGAGGGACTAGAACTCACAGTCGCCTGGTGATTGGCCCAAAGTCACCCAGCTGACTTTCATGTCTAAGGTGGGACTAGAACTCACAGTCGCTGGTGATTGGCCCAAAGTCACCCAGCTGGCTTTCATGTCTAAGGAGGGACTAGAACTCACAGTCTCCTGGTGATTGGCCCAAAGTCACCCAGCTGGCTTTCATGCCTAAGGTGGGACTAGAACTCACAGTCTCCTGGTTTCTAGCCTGTTGCCCTCACCACTGGACTAAAGTGGCTTTCTTCTGAAATATTGACAATTAAATTTACTAAAAAAAATAACTAGTGCTATCTAAAGCAACAAAATGCATATTTCCTTAGATTATCTGAGAACATGGAACCAGATATTAAGCAAACATGATGTATTTGTTGTATATAACTGATAAGTTCCATCAAGATAAAGCAAATAAATAAATATATTTTTTGTTATAATTTTACGTGTAAAGGATAGCTGTTGGGTAGCCTTTTGTTAACATGGTGCCATCCATGACATCCAGTCATACGTATTTGTTTAAATTTTTTACACAAATATTTCTGCTCAACCAAGGCTGTTTGTAATATATTGTCAATAACAATGTTATTAATAGTCTGTTGTGGCATCATCGATCTTGGGTTGTCTCATTAGACTTTTTTTTAAAAAATCACGCAACGCAAAATCTATGTTGGACCTCAAGTGCTTTTTTTGCATCCTTGTTAGCAACATACCCTTGCTAAATCAGATTAGGATAAGGATAAACGTAATGTGTACATCACCAAAGGTGCATTTTTCCGTGCTTTTATTTAGGTAAAGACCTTGTAATTGATTGCAAATTATTGCACACTTAATTGGGAGACCTTTGGAACGCAGAAATCATGGCACACGGCTCGGATCTTTGTATGACCAATCTAATCTCCCATTCTCTCTACTCATCCTATAACCGCGATGGCGAATCTATGGCATGCGTGTCCGAAGTGGCATGTGGAGCCATGTCACCTGGCACATGCAGCGTCGCCTGTTCCTCTTCCAGGTTTCTGTCATGCATGTGCTCGCGATGATTAGCTGGCCTTCGTGCCTATGGCAGTGCCGGAATCTGGAAGAGCTGTTCTTCCGTTTTCCTGCATGATCATGCACGCCGACTAGCTGATCATTGCGTGCACATGCGTGTCAGAAACCTAAAAGACTAGCTGGCCGGCACACACACATGTGCTGGAACCAGAAGTTCATTTTCGGGCGCGCATACGCCCTGGGCAACTCCTCTTCCAGGTTGCGGTCCAGACGAGAGCGCACGCACTCTCTTTTCGGTACTCGGTGCCGAAAAAGTTCGCCATCACTGTCCAAGAATATAAGTCGGTGTTGCTAGGTGCCAATTAAACGGGATCCCAAAAGAGATCCCAAAAGGGAGGAAAACATTGTGCAAAAATGTAGAGGAAGAAAAATTAAGGATTGTCGATCCGAAAGAGAAAAAGAGTCTGGATGGCGGGAGCAACAGTACCCAGAGACGGCAAAATAGAAGAGAAAGAAACGGAGGGAAAAAAGCCACAAAATACGAAGACCGACAGATATTACAATGATCTGTCTCTCACCCAATCTTTGCTTCTTTTTTTTTTCCCCAAACAGGAATATTTGGATGTTTTGGGCAGACCCATGGTAATGGCTGAGCAAAAAGCCAAACAAGTCCAATGGACCAACGTTTATTTGGATGCTCTGGTATGTGCAATTATGCATATTTTGGACAGAAAATGGTTAGAAATGAAATGATTCATTGCACTAAAAGGTTGCGGCAGAAAAAAATCTTTACTCCCTTTGTCACGGTTGAAAGGAATTTCTTTAGCCCAGAGAGAAGGGGGAGAGAGAGAGAGAGAGAGAGAGAGAGAGAGAGAGAGAGAGAAAGATTTGCTAAAGATTAGAAATACCAAGGGAGAATTTTCAATTCATATAAGAAGAAATAAGAATCCCATCTGCATTTTCACAGTAATATGCTCCTTATCCGTTACAACCCACACATTTTTGAGATGGGAAAAAGTTATTACAGCTAGTCCTCGATTTACAACAGTTTGTTTAGTGACCATTCCAAGTTCCAATGGCACTGGAAAAAAAAGGGACTCAGGACTGTTTTTCACATTTAGAACTTTTACAGCATTCCTGTGGTCACAAGATCAGAATTCAGACGCTCGACAACTGGCATGTACTTATGACGGTTGCAGCGTCCCCTAGGTCACATGATTTGGAGACCTTCAATGGCGAAACCAGATTCACTAAACAATTATGTTACTAATTTAACAAGTGCAGTGACTCACTTAACAACGGTGGCTAGAAAGGTTGTAACACGGGGCAAAACTCACTTAACAAGTGTCATGCTTGGCAACTTAAATGTTGGCCTCAACTGTGGTCATAAGTCAAGGACTGCTTGTAACTAGTAGGTCCTTATCCATTGTAAAAATATATTTTTCTCCCCTTAGAAATTCAGCACCATTCTGAATCTGAGAGAAATAATCCCGGCAAAATATACTTTTTTTTTCTTCCTCTTGTGCTTGATAGTGTAAAAAAAAAAATGGAAGAATTTGCTTTCAGAATAACATAATTGGGAGGACCTTTGAGGTCTTCTAGTCCAGCCCCCTCCTCAGGCAGGAAACCCTATGCCCGTAATGGCGAACCTATGGGCATGCGTGGAACCATTTTGCCTGGCACGTGCAGTGTCGCCCGTTCCTCTTCCAGTTGCTCATGCGTGCACGACGATCAGCTGGCCTTTTTGCATACAGCACTGCTGGAAAGAGCTGGTCTTTCATTTTTCTGCGTGAGCATGCACGCCAGCCAGCTGATTGTCGTGGGCGCATGCGTGCCAGAAACCTGGAAGAGTAGCTGGCTGAAACCGGAAGTTCAGTAGCTGAAACCGGAAGTTCAGTAGCTGAAACTGGAAGTTCATTTTCGGGTGCGCACATGCGACCTGGGCAGAACCTCTTCCGGGTTGCAGCTCAGATGTGCCTGCGCGCACTCTCTTTTCGGCAATTGGTGCTGAAAAGGTTCGCCGTCACTGCCCTATGCCATTTCGGACAAATGGTTGTCCAGTGTCTTCTTCCTCCAGTGATGGAGCACCAGTGGTGGGTTCCTCCCGGTTCGGCCCGGTTCTGCCAAGCCAGTAGCGGTGACGATATGACGTCACCGAACCGGTTCTGCCCCCCTGCCCCCCACCCCTTCCCTTCTGTCCCCCACCCCCGCGTTATTCTTACCTTTTATTTGGCGCCACCCCCAATTTATTGCTGCCTCCTGAGTCCCAGCTGATGGACTATAAGGAAAAACTGTTTAAACTCTTGCCGCAGGGCTTCAAAGGGCCGCCCTACAGCTGATCAGTGGTAAAAGGCAGTTTGGTGGTAGACCAGTGCCTCCAAAAATAAATGGGTAGACCAGTGCCTGCAAAAATACATGAGTAGATCAGTGCCTGCAAAAATAAATGGGCAGACCAGTGCCTGCAAAAATACATGAGTAGATCAGTGCCTGTAAAAATAAATGGGTAGACTGGTACAACTCTGCAAGCAGTTAAAAGCCTGGTAGACCAGTACCTCTGCTAAATCCTAAAGAATTGTCACATGACCATCAAGCCACACCCACAAAATAAGCCACGCCCACAGAACTGGTAGTAAAAAAATTTAGAACCCACTCCTGTGAAGCACCCGCCACCTCTGGTGGCAAGGAGTTCCATGGATCGATTGTTCTCACTGTTGGGAAATTTCTCCTTCGTTCTAAGGTGGCTTCTCCTTGATTAGTTCCCATTGCTTTCGTTTAAATGACTCTGGTGCACAGATTGGGCAACTTAGCTGAAAGCTTTGGCTCTACATATTAAATCAGTATTAATTTCCTGCAACCCGCCCCCCTCCCCAATCCAATGCCTGACCTGATTTGCAAGCCAAGCATCCTTTGTTTAGCTTTGCTGAAGGCAGAGCGACCTAACATTTTCCTGCTTGTTTAGTTATCTCTAATGTGAAACGTGTCAAATGCATAACTGTGCAGGAAATGACACCGATTTACAACACAGGTTGCAAGAATTGCAGCCGCAGCTATCAAAACCTTTTTGGCACTCGCTGAAAGGTGATAACATTGACGGACACATTTAAACCCCCAATAGTGGTTATTGTAATATATGATTGTCAGCCTGGCCAGCTGAATTTCCATCTTTTCCTGTTGGCTTTACAATATAATATCTCTCTAATTTGTTTTCAGTGTGCTCTGTCCATTCCGAGCCAGCCCTATCGAATAGGTCAGTTTTTTGCATCATTATAGTTCCGATGCTCAGAAGTTCAATGACCATCCTTTCTTGATTAGTGAATGGAGGCTTTACTGGAAATGTCCTGGAGAAAGTTGATATCTTTTCGACACATCCTGTTCTTAAATGTCAGCAAGGAGGGAAGGAAAACTGCACCAAAATCATTCTGTCCTCGTAATCATTCCCCCCCACCCATCCACACACACACACCATGAGTTCCAAAGAAAAGGAATATTTATTTGATCCTCGGCACTCAAAAGCGTGGGGGACGTGGTGGCTCGGACGCTGAGCTTGTCGATCGAAAGGTCGGCAGTTCAGCGGTTCGAATCCCGAGTGCCGCTAACGGGGTGAGCTCCCGTTACTTGTTCCAGCTTCTGCCAACCTAGCAGTTCGAAAGCAAGTAAAAAATGCAAGTAGAAAAATAGGGACCACCTTTGGTGGGAAGGGAACAGCGTTCCGTGCGCCTTTGGCGTTGAGTCATGCCAGCCACATGACCACGGAGATGTCTTCGGACAGCGCTGGCTCTTTGGCTTTGAAACGGAGATGAGCACCGCCCCCTAGAGTCGGGAACGACTAAGCCACATGTGTGAGGGGAACCTTTACCTTTACTAAAAAGCAGATTAAATTATATAAGTAAGTTGATTATTGACTATATAATCAATATAGACTGATAAATAATTTGAACAACGTGTTCTTCGGATGACCTAGCGCTGAGAATTGACTTTAGTGCTGCTGTGTTTTTCTCAGGGTTAATGACACACTTTTTAATCCCCTGGGCCATTAAAATAATATTTTCTGATTAGATAGATGAGGAGGTGATAAGCCACCTGGGAAAGCCAAGGGAAATCATCAAAACCATGAAAAAGCGAAAGTTAGAATATTTCGGACATGGGATGCCACACCCAGAAAAATACACCATACTTCACTTAATCCTCAAGGGAAAGGTTGAAGGCAAATGAGATCCAGGTAGAAGAAGAACCTCAAAATTTAAAGGACTGGTTTGAACAAAACTCAGCAGCACTTTTTCGTTGTGGCTGTTGATAAAAATAGGATCGCCAACATGATCGCCAATGTCCAATGACAAATATGGCACATGAAGAAGTATTAGATAGATAGATAGATAGATAGATAGATAGATAGATAGAGAGCGAGGAGAGAGAGATAGAGAGATAGATAGAATGATAGAGAGAGAGGGATGATGGATGGATGAAATGATATAGATGAGAGAGAGAGAGAAATGATAGATAGATAGATAGATGATAGATAGATAGATAGATAGATAGATAGATAGATAGATAGATAGATAGATAGATAGATAGATAGATAGATAGGATGGATAAATGGATGGATGGATGGATGGATGGGTGGGTAAGTGGTAGGTAGGTAGGTAGATAGATAGATAGATAGATAGATAGATAGATAGATAGAGCGAGAGAGAGATAGAGAGATAGATAGAATGATAGAGAGACAGGGATGATGGATGGATGAAATGATATAGATGAGAGAGAGAGAGAATGATAGATAGATAGATAGATAATAGTAGATAGATAGATAGATAGATAGATAGATAGATAGATAGATGGATAAATGGATGGATGGATGGATGGGATGGGTGGGTAAGTGGTAGGTAGGTAGGTAGGTAGTAGATGATAGATAGATAGATAGATAGATAGAGCGAGAGAGAGATAGAGAGATAGATAGAATGATAGAGAGAGAGGGATGATGGATGGATGAAATGATATAGATGAGAGAGAGAGAGAAATGATAGATAGATAGATAGATAGATAGATAGATAGATAGATAGATAGATAGATAGATAGATAGATGGATAAATGGATGGATGGATGGATGATGGGTGGGTAAGTGGTAGGTAGGTAGATAGATAGATAGATAGATAGATAGATAGATAGATAGATAGATAGCTGATAGAATAGATAGATAGCTGATAACAGATCTAGACAGACAGACAGACAGATAGAGATAGATAGATAGATAGATGATAGATAGACAGACAGACAGACAAGCAGACTCATTTTTCTGGAGACCACAGAGTGGGATGGGGTGGGGTTTAACCCGCCAAGATGGCAGATGTAGTATACAGAGGGACAGGCTTTCATCATGATGCCCCATTCATTCTCCAACAGATCGTGGAGACTGTAGTTTGTTTCCTTCATAAAAAATGTTCCACATTATTTCACATTTTTTTTATATTCACAAATGACATTTTGGGAACTGAGTGTTTCGAATTGTGACTTCCATGTTCATGATTACGTTTTGTTTTCACTCTAAAACAGTTCTCTCTCTCTCTCTCTCTCTCTCTCTCTCTCTCTCTCTCTCTCTCTCTCTCTCTCTCTCTCTCTCTCTCTCTCTCTCTCTCTCTCTCATTGATTTCTAGGAACTTGGCTTGGTCATTTCGGGAACCTTGCCGGTCTTCAACTTTACCAAAGATCAAAATAACGTTCAGGTAAGCACCTCACACAATCCTGGACTGACATAAAGCTTCCGTATCTAACAGTTAAGTAGCCTGACAACATGAAATGGAAACAGGTTCATCCTCTCTGTAATGAGCTTGCAATACTACGCGTCTGTCAAGCGCCAGGGAAATTCAGGCAGTTCAAATGCCTGAAGAGCCTTGATGGTACAGTGGTCTAAGCACCCTGTTATTAACACAGCTGCCTGCAATTACTGCTGGTTCAAATCTCGCCAGGCTCAAGGTTGACTCAGCCATACAAAAGGATGAAGGCTATTGCTTAACGCATTGTAAGCCGCCCTGAGTCTCCGGAGAACGGCGGCATATAAATCAAATTAAAAAAAAAAATGAGTATAAAGATTTATTGCAAGCTTGAGTTCTCTACAAGAATCTGGCCAACTAACAGTCAAGGGAAAAGAGCGGGAGATAAGAAAAGCACTCAAGGTGGGATGGAGTTAGATCTCTTGCGGGCACACAGGGATTCATGATTGATGATGTGTTTGACCCCTCCCTCGGGCTCAGCCTGGTCATCTCCTACAGCAAGGATGTCAAACTCCCGGCCCGCGGATGCCTCACATGCTGGCCACACCCTCACCCCATTTAGTGAAGGGGGGAAAAAGTCCCGATACATCACGTGACACCGCCATGAGTTTGACACCCTTGACCTACAGCATCTCCATGCAGAAATAAATCCACATAAAATACATGGGATTTAACTTCGAGACCGCAGCTTCTATATTTTTCAACCCAAATGGACTGTGAAACAACTTTACAACATATGATTTGGAAATCAGCTAAGTAGATTCGTACCTGCAGTCCAGTTTGCTGTGGATCATCAGGATTTGTTTGTTTATCTTTGTGTGTGTGAGAGAGAATGTGTTGGCAACTCCCTTCAGATTGTTGTGATATTCTGAGTATCTTGGATTAAGTATAGGTTACTCCTTTCTGGAGATTGGGAGAAGGCCACAACCAACTGGGCTGGTATTATTGGTAAATTGGTAAATAAGATGTTCTCATTATGAATGACATACAGTGAGACCAAAGAGATGCCTGGATACAGAGAGGGTTTCTTTCTTTCTTTCTTTCTTTCTTTCTTTCTTTCTTTCTTTCTTTCTTTCTTTCTTTCTTTCTTTTCTTTCTTTCTTTCTTTTTCTTTCTCTTCTTTTTTCCTTCCTTCCTTCCTTCCTTCCTTCCTTCCTTTTCTCTTTCTTTCTTTCTTCTCTTTCCTTCTTCTTCTTTCTTTCTTTCTTTCTCTTCCTTCTCTTGCTCCTTTCTTCTCTTCTTCCTCATCCCTCCCTCCCCTCCCTCTTTCTTTCTTTCTTTTCTCTCCCTTCCTTCCTTCTTCTCTCCTTTCTTCCCTCCTCATCCCTCTTTCTTTCTTTCTTCTTTCTCTCTCCTTTCTTCCCTTCCCTTCTTCATCATCCCTTCCTCCCTCCCTCTTTCTTTCTTTCTTCCTCTTCTCTCTTTCTTTCTTTCTTCTTTCTTTTCTTTTCTTTTCTTTTTCTTTCTTTCTTCCTTTTCTCTCCCTTCCTTCCTTCTCTCTCTCTCCTTTCTTCCCTTCCTTCCTCATCTCTCTCTCCCTCCCTCCCTCCCTCCCTCCCTCTTTCTTTCCTTTCTTTCTTTTTCTTTCTTTTTTCTTTCTTTCTTTCTTTCTTTCTTTCTTTCTTTCTTTCTTTCTTTTTCCTTCCTTCCTTCCTTCCTTCCTTCCTCCTTCTCTTCCTTTTCTCTTTCTGTCTATCTGTCTTTCTTTCTTTCTTTCTAAGTCGAGAGACACATATACATTGTACGCACACTATCAAAGTAAAATGTAAGGCTTTCGCAAGACTTCAAATACTGTCGATTACTCGGCGTGCAAAATGTACACACCGCAGGAGGAACCGTCGCCTGTCTCATTAACATCTGGGACACGCTAATTTCATCTTAATTATCTGTGACCTCCACAGAAAAGAAATTTGGCTTTACTCCTTCAAGTTAACGTTTTAATCATCTGAAAATAAATCTGTTTGTTTGATTTGTTGGACAGAACCAGTTGATCCTTGGCGTAATGGGAGTTGACGTGTCCCTAGAAGAAATTAAAAAGGTCACCCCTCGTTTTACTGTGAGTTTCCTCTATCATCCTTTAAAAACAACAACAAAACAAAAAAACCTTCTGCAGTAGCTTGGATCCTGTTCAAGTTTCTCTTCCAGTCTATCTAGTTCCATTGCCTGGAAGTCAAGGGAGGAAAAAAAAATGATTTCCTCTTTCCCCTATTTTTGCGGACATGACTTCTCCTAAATGCAAGACCTACTAATGTTCTACTCTCTTGTAGATGACTTGGAGATGATGGCTCTGTGCCACGGCTTTGAAAAACCGAGGACACAAAAGGAGCTCTTAACCTGATGATCCCTTCTGCTTCCTTTATAGCCGATGGTTTAGACGAGAGCAGTGATGGCTAACCTTTTTGCCGTCGTATGCCAAAAGCAGGGGGACCGTCAAGCACGCACACCCATAATTCAATGCGCCCGACCTCTCCGCCCGTTTTTGGCATATGATAGCACCGCGGGCCCGGTAGGCCCGTTCGCCCTCCCCAGGCTCCAGAGGCTTTCTTGGAGCCTGGGGAGGGCGAAAACTGCCTTCCCACCCCGGAGGCCGGAAACAGCCCATTTCCTGACTTCTGATAGGCCCAGAAGGCCCAACGCTTGCATGCCCACAGATATGTCTCTGGGTGCCACCTGTGGCACACATGCCATAGATTTGCCATCATGGGACTAGAGCATTATTTCAACCCATAAGCAATCTCAACTTTTGCACCGAATGGCCCCTTCCCTTTACATAACATGTCATGTTCGTATGAACGGGGGTTCATATAATGGGGTTTTTTTTTTCTTGTAGGAATCACGTTGGAACAAAAACGGAATTAGCTTCATTTCCAGGGATTATTTCATCGTCTTTTTCTGGGGCTATAGCGAACGATATTAGAACGTCCTGAAATGTTTTGCTGCCACATTTATTTATTTTTTTTAAATTCCCAGTTGGGTCATCTCTGGATAGGTCCAGCGCGGCTGAGGAGCATAGGTCTTGTAATTTGCAAAAAAAAAAGTTATATGCATTTAATGTTAGCGTTTAAGAGATGTTACAATTCCATAGTCAGTACGGGCAGTCCTCGACATACGATCACAACAGGGCCCCAAATTTCTGTGACGAAGCGAGGCAGCTGTTCAGTGAATTTTTGCCCCCGTTTTATGACCATCCTTTGCCATAGCTTGTTAAGTGAATCACTGCAGTTATTTAAATTAGCAACACGGTTGTTAAGTGAATCTGGCTTTCCCCCATTGACTTCGCTTGTTATTATTATTATTTATTCAATTTATATACCGCCCTTCTCCTAGTGGACTCAGGGCGGTGCACAGCCAAAACTAAAATACATAACAATACAAAATTTAAAATTAATTAAAAGAATTATATACTTTGGCCCGAATTAAAACAATGCAAATTAAAACCCATTAACAGATTAAAACTAAATAATTAATAACCATTAAAAACTAAAAAAGGGGGCGGGGTTCACGCCAGCCCTGCTTGCTGGAAAAGAAGAGTTTTCAGGGCACGGCGAAAGACCCGGAGATCCGATATCCTTCTTATCTCCGGGGGCAAATCGTTCCAGAGGGCGGGGGCTGCCACAGAGAAGGCCCTCCCCCTGGGGGTCGCCAGCTTGTTAGAAGACCCCAGGATGCTGCAACTGTCATAAATATCAGTCAGTTGCCAAGGGTCTGAATTTTGAACACGTGAAGCCTGGGGGATTCTGCAACGGTCATACGTGTGAAAAACGGTCATAAGTCCCTTTTCCCAGAGCTGTTGTAACTTGGAATGGCCGCTACGCAAACTGTTGTAAGTGGAGAACCATCTGCATGGTTAGAGCGTCCAGCTTTTGTGAAATGCAACGACAGGGACCAATGCATCATAGTTACATTTCTTTTCCTTTAACAGCTGTGTCCCAACGGTTATTATTTTGCCATTGATCCCAATGGTTATGTGCTGCTTCATCCAAATCTTCAACCAAAGGTATGGGATATCTTCTGGTTGCCGTTTATTTCAATTTTAGTTGTTTTGCAAAAGATGTTTGAAAAGATCGGTAATCCCTCAAGATTTTCAGTTTTCCCTGGTCACCTTCGGTGCACGCGGCTTGGATTTTATACTCTGAAGTGAAATGTCCATCTTTCCGTTTGCTAAAATGGACCGATGCAGAAGGGTAAAAATCCTACCTAAGACCTTCCGTGCTCGAAGTAGCTGAAATCACAATACTGGTAGCGGCCAAAACTGTGGAAACCTTTTGGGAAAAGGTGTAGTTTCTAAAACTAGCTAATAACACCACTTTTTTTGAGAGTAGTGCCATAAAATTATATATCAATGGAAAGATAATTTAATCAAGAATGTAATGCAATAACTTTTATGAAGGATTTGCTATTGGAATAGCAGTTACAGTATAAAGAAGGAAAGTGAAACACGTAGAAAAAACGAGATATACAAGAATGATCACCCTAGAAAAAACGAGATATACAAAAATCATCACCATGTGAGTTAATATTTAGTTGGGTAACCTTTAGCATGAATGACGGCCTTACAACGTCTTCCCATGGAGTGAACCAAGTCTTTGAGTTCTGCAGCTGTTATTATGTGAAACCAAGATTGAATGATGGCTTCTATTAACTGGGTTTTATTGCTGGGTCACTTCTGATTAACATGTTTTTTTAGTCGGCTCCAAGGGTGAAATTCAGCAGGTTCTGACAGGTTCTGGAGAACCAGTAGCGGAAATTTTGAGTAGTTCGAAGAACTGGAAAATACCACTTCTGGCTGGCCCCTTGAGTGGGGTGGGAATGGAGATTTTGCAATATCCTTCCCCCAGGAGTGGGGTGGGAATGGAGATTTTGCAGTATCCTTCTCCCAGGAGTGGGATGGGAATGGAGATTCTGCATATCCTTCCCCTGCCACGCCCACCAAGCCATGCCCACCAAGCCACACCACGCCCACAGAACCGGTAGTAAAATAATTTGAATTCCACCACTAGTCGGCTCCATAGATTTTCAATTGGGTGAAGGTCTGGGCTATTCCCAGGCCATTCCAGCAGTGGAATAGGATTCTCATGAACCTCCCCCCCAAAAAGTGGTGTTATTAGCCATCAAACCTCAAAAATACAGTTTTCCCAAAAGGTTTCCACAATTTTGGCCACTACTTTATGTACATTGCTTTGATTTCAAGATCTAAAGAGAGACTGTTTTGTATTTCTTCAGTTTGTTCTCCATTTTCTTTGGTTTTTATGGCCCAATACCTTATTTTTATTTTATTTTTAAAAAAATCTTTTTTGTGTACACGCTGAAACTGAATCTTGCAATGTGTATGTCCGTTTGCCTGTCCTCTCTGTGTTTAACGCACCTAGAGTTATTATGCAGACCGTCTTACATCTTTAGTAAACTCTACTGTGCCTCCTTTACATTCACTCTTTATGTTTTTTAAAAAACTTGTCTGAGTAGTTCTTAAACTCAAAAACATGTACCATAGAATGAGCTTTTAATTTATAGCCTTGTCTGTAGTTTTTATTCCCCAAACAACAAATTATCACTGTTCCTGAAACTCTTGACAAGGCTTTTGAAAAATGACCTAATTTTTTTTTTCCACTGCCTTAAAAATTCACAGCAAAACACAGTTCTGCAATTGGTTTGTTTGGCTTACAAACAATTTACATCAACTTCTATTTATCTTTTGTTTTTTAAAAAAATCTCACTCGGTTTAATAGTACTTACATCCAAGTCATTGTGGTAGTCTTGTGGTCCTTTTTCTCTTGAAACTATTATTAAAATAAAACCCTAACCCTAAAATTTCTGTTAAAAAAAAACAAAAACCCTTTATTAAACTGAATGATCTGGTTTGTGGGTCAGGCTATTAAAATATAGTTATGTAGTATTGAAATACGGCTACAATTACTCGAGCTGGTAGAGTAGGCCGTGTTGTAAAAATAGACGTCCTTTTGCTTAGAGGTTTATTTATTTACTTTTTAATTGGATGCCTTAAATTTGATCTCATCATTGAGGGCGGGAGACTCCCGTCCACAATTAGCTCAGGTCTTTTAAAACAGGGAATTATTTTAAAATAAGCTCTTGCGGAGGGCCAGGGAGACTTGGTAAATAGGGCTGGAAACGGCGCATGGCTTCACAAACAGAATGGGGTGTGGGAAATGTAACACCCCTGTGGTTGTGTTGATTTCGAAGGCACCGTCCCTTGTGGCAAAGAACCCAGTGAAAATGCCCCCAGGGAATAAAACAAGGCATAGATGCCCAAGCAGAACCAATATTTACAAATTACTATGAAACTGAAGGAAAGTACTATTTGGTAACCAGCTAGAGATTCTTGCTAGTCGGTAATTTAATACTGGCTATTCAGTACTGGTTAGGGAAATAACCTGATCCCGGCTCCCCTCTTCCTGTTGAAGACCCAGCTAACAGGATTTTAGGAAAATTGGGTTTTTGGTTCTGAGTTGCTGGATCGAAGCGCACAAAGAGAGGAAGCGCACAATCACACTTATAAATCTTCATCCTGTTAGGGTTGCAGGCAGGGGTGAAATGCTCCCGGTTCGGATCAGATTCCCGATCCGGTAGTGATGGTGGCAGGTGGTTCGGAGAACCGGTAGCAAAAATCCCTGCCCCATGGCCATGGTGGGGGTGGCCAGGGGTGTGACAGGCAGCAGTCGGCCTCCTCCACCTCCGCAAAAATGGGTTACGGGGGAGGGCACCACACACCCCCGTGCCCCATTTTGGGCCTAGTAGGCCTAGTAGGCCTCCCTACAGCCTTCTGGGAGCATAAACGGGCCATGAGGGGGGTACACTTCACCCCCATGCCCCATTTTGGGCCTAGTAGGCCTTCCTGCAGCCTCCTGGGAGCAAAAACGGGGTGCATAGGGACTCTTGGAAGGGGTGGGGGTCAGTCAGCAATTTAACAACCGGTTCACCCAAACCAACCCGAACCGGCTGAATCCCACCACTCATCTATCTGTCCTCATTGCCCAGATAGCAAAATATTCTCTCTATTGAGTACTTTCCAACCTTTAATTGGAATGAAAGATGTCTTGTCGAAGTTTGGTCTGAGAGGTCTAGGACAACTCACCAACTTGCCGTGGGACAAGAGTTACACTAATATCGAAGAAATAGTAGAACAGAATCATTCAAGAAAGGATGCCAAAGCAGGGAGAAAATGAAACGTGAATGACAAAATTTAAAACATTTTTAGAATTATTTTAAATAATTAAATTGAATGGCTGAATTGTTCCCTCAGCGAGTTGTTCCGTGGCGAGCTGGCCGCGGCAAATTGGCCATGAGTTGGCTGCATCGAGTTGTCCCATTCTGGATCGGATTGCCAAATGGCTCAGAGTTTTCTTTAGATTAGAAGAACGAGGATTATTAGAATTAATAAAAAACGGTTGCTATGTGGAAACATTGTATGAATCGATGCTGTTCTGTTGCTTTAGCACATTGGTGTGGGCATCCCCCAAATTAAACAAAGGAGACCCTATACCCAGGTAACTATGAATGGAGGTGACTAATAGTGTGGACAAAGCTATTTAGATGCCTGGGAGAACTCTTAAAATGGTTGTGTAAACCAGCAATTTTTCTCTTAACGCATGAAGCTCGCAAAATTAAGTGTTGATGCTTTTAGGAGACGTTCCTTGAAGTGAGAGCATCCGTCTATTCAGTTGAATTCATGCTTTATTCTTTTCAGAGAAGCCTCAAAATACAGCAGTTTAATTATTGTGATGTTGATATAATACTTGTGGAAGAATGCAAGGTTTACGTTTGAAACTGACTATTGGTAGAATTCTAAGTTATTTCAAGAATTTCAAATGCAGCCTTGTGACTTTTTTTTGACAATGTCTGCAGTCGAGTGAAATCTGTGAGGCTTAATTAAGTATTGACTAACTTAAACCCCATTAATTTCAACAGGATTGCTCTTGTAAGCATGGTTAGCTCTTGAAATCTGTATGGGTGACTTCCTTATAGTTTGGTTTTCTCTGACGATCTTGTCTTGTACAGATGGTCCTCGACTTACAATCACAAACGAGCTTGAAACTTCTGTTGTTCAGTGAGACATTTGTTAAGAGAATTTTGTCCCATTTTATGACCTTTCTTGCCTCGATCGCTAAGGGAATCATTTCCGTTGATAAGTGAGTAACCCGGTGGCGAAGTGAATCTGGCTTCCCCATTGACTTTGCTTGTTCAGAAGGTGATCACATCACTTTGGGACGGTCATAAATATGAACCAGTTACCAAATATCTGGATTTTGGTCACATGGTGGTGCTGGAAAGGTCATAACTGTGAAAAACAGGTCGTAAGTCACTTTTTTCAGTGCCGTTCAGTGGTGGGATTCAAGTAATTTAACAACCGGTTCTCTGCCTTAATGATTTCTTCCAACAACCAGTTTGTTAAACTGCTCAGAAAGTTAACAACCGGTTCTCCCGAACTGGCTGAACTGGCTGAATCCCACCACTGATGCCTTTGTAAATTGGAATTCACTAAATTCACTAAACGAACTATGTAAGTCAAGGGCTAGCTGTATACATAACACCTGCCTTGTTTCTGCCATCTGCATGCATGTCAGCATTTTATTTATCTATTGTTTGCGTTTGGGCAATGCTTGGCACCAAACGTTTATGATTTGCAAATGTGACATCGCTGAAAACATGAAAACATGTCATTGCCATTTTTTCCCCCAGTTCTGTTGATCTGAGTTGATTCATTTCACTGCCAGATTTAACAGTCATTTGTTTGGATAAACAATGTTAGCAACTGTAATGTCACAGCAGGATGTTGCAAGTAATCGGCATTGCTTAAAATTTCTCTGCTTGAATATTCTCATATCTAAGATACGATATATCATATATAATAACTTAAATGCTCTTTATAAAAAACTTCTGTTCTGACCCAGCAAGAAAACAGACTCCTTGTCACAAAAGAACCCCTTTTTATTTACCTCTTGTGAATTAATGGCATTCACCCACCAAAAAGCCCAGGCATTAGTCCTTCAAGGAGTTAACTGCAGTAACAGACCTTATCAGTTCCTTGAGATAATTGCAAGGCTGTGAGCTCCCAGCCAAAATGCTGCAAATTAAGTTCTGGCAAGAAGTCTTTGCGGCACGAAACGCAATTAGCAGAATCTTCAGAAATACGAACGGTTGTCTCCTACGACCACCACTCCCCTTTCCTTCTATTTATTCCCCAGCCAGGGAGGGGCCATTCAGCGTCCACATATGCTTTGCTTCCCGAGTCGACTCTTTGTCCTCCGTTGTTCTCCTCTCCTAACTGCTGTGCGCATACGTGCATCTAAAATAGGCCCCAGCTGCTCTTCCTCCTCACTCATCTCAGCCTCCAAAGGCAGCTGCCTCTCTGGTGGCTGGGAAATGTCAGATGGCCCTGGTTCTATCTTTGTGCCCGACACAGAGCATCCATCAGAGCCTTCCCCAGACTCCAGCACTGGCCCAAGTTCTTCCCCAACCTCCTCATTGTCCGAGTCTGCTGCCAGCTCCACAGGCAGCTGGCGGGCCACAAGAACATCAACAAAATTGAAGACATAGTCAATCTAGTAAAGTAGATTCTATATTTGGTTCCCAAAGAATATCAGTAGCTAATTTTTTTCCCAGCAAGCTGGGATTGTAGTGAAACTACGTGCAGATGAATCTTTTTAATAAAGATTTTCAGAATTGAACCAATTTTTAATCTGCAAAATTCATTTTCTTTAACTGAAGAAAAACATTTCTATTCTTTTTTTTAAAAAAGGCTTCCTTTTTGTCAATCCTGTCCCTTTTATTTCAAAATTGAGTCAGTTTCCACCTTCGTATAATGAAGTCTTTGATTTCTGATGTTCCTGTTTGGAAATAAGATATCATTATTATTATTATTATTTTCTTCTAATACATACATTGTGTCTGTTTCTTTGCTTGCATTTTCTGGATGTAAAATGTTTTGAATTTTATTTAGAGCGAGGGAGAAGTCTCCAGATATTTCCTCATCATGAAACCAAGCAAATTAATTCCTGTTTCCCCAGTTGTCTCTCTCCTTTTGAATAAATCAATGATGCTTTTTAACTGAGCCTATTTCATAGTGTCTATATGGAAGTATAGTTTCCTTGGTCGCCATGTGGAAGTGATGCCTTCATTGGTATTTTAGATTTTTTTATTTAACTATTTAACCTGATTTATAGCCCTGAAATTATTTGATAATATTTATTTAAAACAGTAAGCAGTTTGACTCTGCTTAGCTTCTGAACCCAGAGATGTTTTCCCAAATATTATCAATCCTGAAATTTTTTTCTTTCTTTCTTTCTTTCTTTCTTTCTTTCTTTCTTTCTTTCTTTCTTCCTTCCTTCCTTCCTTCCTTCCTTCCTTCCCTCCTTCTCTCCCTCTCCTTCCTTCCTTCCCTCCCTCCTTTCTTTCTTTCTTTTTCTATCTTTCTTTCATCCATCCATCCATCCATCCATCCATCCATCCACTTTCTATATCAATCTTCTATATCTTCTACAGAGATCTTTCTCTGTAGTAATTCCAGTTTAAATCTAAAGAGTACATGTAATTGTAATTGTACTGATTCTACAGAAAGGTAAGTAATTTTAGCTGGATGAGTGCCATTAGTTTTAGATTCTCATCAAAATATGTTTATTCTATGCTGCTTTGAAATCTTCTTCAGAATCCGAAATCTCAGGAACCTGTGACTCTGGATTTTCTGGATGCAGAGTTGGAGAATGACATTAAAGTTGAGGTATGTTGGCGTGATCGTTTGAGATTTTCCATGAAGACAAGTTAGTTCTGAAGCGAACACAAAGGTTGGCAGCCATCTTAGGCATTTGAGGCTCTGGGTTTTTTTTTTTATAGCATCTGGTTTTTCTTTTGTGCCTCATGATGGACCAGTATCCTTAAGACAAGCAGCCTTCAGAAGAAATCTGTAGGAATATTTTGTCATGAAGGAACTAGGCAGATGTCCTAGCTGTCCTCCAAATTTCAACAGAAAATTTAGGGGAGAGGGGGAGTTTCAAAAATTAAGATGGAGGGCACAACACTGTGACCAAAATTTAGTCCTTTCAAGTGACAGTAACACATGAACTAAGGGATGGACTTTGATTATGAGCCCAATCTGCCATCTTAAACTTTTTGATCCCCCTTACCCTGGACACCCCGATAGGCAATATTAATAAGATTGTTATCCAGTCAGCTTTCATTATCTCACAAGCAATCATTCCTTACCATAACTTATACAAAGAGTTGGATTGCAATTGTTTTGCCTCCTGAAGTTTTATCTGTTTGGCTATATTAGCATATCACCATATTGTAAATGGTGCTCTTTTTTTAGCCAATACAGGGACAAATAAAGGGGGGGGAGTCATAAAAACATATATAAAGAATGTAACAACAAAGCTTTAAACCTGATGGGGAATGAGTGATTTTTAGGGTCTTTCTAAGAGGTTTCAAGAATTTAGATACAATCAAAGGTAACCGAGGAAGGAACGGGACTTCAGCGAAGATTTCAAACAGTTCCTGTAAAAGACATCAGATATTGATTAAATCCGTGGCTCAGTTAATTGGTTGGGAAGAAGAGAAAATAGAATCAGAAATAGACGAACTATATAGAATAAATTCCCTATTTGCGTTGAGAAAACTAACATAATCAAAGTTCACTTTGTAAGAAGAAAAACAACAACTAGATATTGTGGACTTTATCCATGGGAGATTTTCCCATCTAATAATGTACATTGACCTATGACTAAAAACAGGTAATCATTTCTTGTTGTCCCTGAAAATCAATGACAATATTTAAAGGTTCTTTGATTATCACATTTGATTAATGTTTATGAAAACATTTCTTCTTTTAGCATTTAGAAAATGGTCAGAAGGAACAATGATTAGAATAGCACTAGCAATAGCCCTTAGATTTATATACCACTTCACAGTGCTTTCTCTAAGAGGTTTACAGAGTCAGCATATTGCCCCCCAACAATCTGGGCCCTAATTTTACCTACCTCGGAAGGATGGAAGGCCGAGTCAACCTTGAGCCAGTCAGGATCGAACTGCTGGCAGTGAGGAGTCAGTTAGCCTGCAATACTGCATTCTAACCACCACACCACCAGGGCTTAAAATAGCAATAGCAATAGCATTTAGACTTATATACCGCTTCACAGTGCTTTACAGCCCTCTCTAAGCAGTTTACAGAGTCAGCCCATTGCCCCCGAACAATCTGGATCTTCACTTTAGTGATCGCGGAAGGATGGAAGACTGAGTCATCCTTGAGCCGATCAGGATCGAACTCCTGGCAGTGAGCAGTGAGTTAGTCTTCAATACTGCATTGTAAAGAAATATGCAGTGACTTCTTAATTTCTTAATTTGTAGATTCGGAAAAAGATGATTGATGGTGAAAGTGGCGACAGGACCTTTCAAACGCTGGTCAAATCTCAAGATGAGGTGAGAATACAAAGATTTGCTTTCGGAGAAAAAAAATAAGTTGGCTAAATGGGTGTAAGACAAAATAGCAGAAAGTTAAGGCTCTAATAGTCTAATAGGCCAGAGTTAGAAAATTAGAAACCGGCTCATGGCAGGGGCTCATAGGGAACAAAAATACAAAATTCCTCTTCCATCCAAGCCTATCCTTTAACTATTGCCCAAATACAGGTAGTCCTCAACTTACGACAGTTCATTTAGTGACCGTTCAAAGTTACAACAGCACTGAAAAAAGGTGACTTATGACCGTTTTTCACACTTACGACTGTTGCAGCATCCCCAGGGTCACGTGATCGAAATTCACGTGCTTGACAACTGACTCATATTTATGACAGTTTCAGTGTCCTGGGGTCCCATTTGGCGACCTTCTGACAAGCAAAGTCAATGGGGAACCCGCATTCATTTAACAACCGTGGAGCTAACTTAACTGCAGTGATTCACTTAACAACGGTGGCAAGGAAGGTTGTAAAATGGGGCAAAATTCACTTAACAACCATCTTGCTTAGTAACAGAAATGTTGGGTTCAATTAGGGTTGTAAGTCAAGGACTGCCTGTATATGTACGTTTTACTAGTTCCCATCTCTTGGGGAAGTTTTCACGCTAACATTTGTGAGGTTGCAAGAAGAAAATAAAATATTATTGAGTGACTTCCTCCCATCCTACTTAAAGCATATATGTATAGATCAAATCAAATAATTTTGATTGCAAACTTTGCTCACAGCTAAGTGAACACCGAAAGCTTCTTTGGGGACCAAAAAGACAGAATCTTGTTAATGTTTAAACTGCTTACGGATACAATTAAGACACCTGTTATAACTTTCTGAATATTATTAGGAAACCCACAATGCTGCTGCTGAACAATTCTTATCTTTTTATAGAAATCATTGTTTCTCGTTATAATACTACTCTATGCTACCGGGAGCCAGGAGTTGTAGTGATAAATGATGAAAACTGAATAACTCCATTCTTTTGGGATGTATTAACGCTGATTAAATCTTTGCCGAGCGTCAAGAGACCTTCTAAAATTCTCCATTGTATTACCCACTCCATTCATTCCGTTCTGTAATTAAACGCGCTGAAATGTTCAGATTAATTTTTGCAACGCCGTGACCAAGCTTGCGTTTATCCTTCAAAGAATGTGAGTCGTAATGATCCTAAAAGAGGAATGAACAATACCAGGTCAATTTTCACCTCTCTGATCTTTAAAATTGCATCTGGGATCATTGGTCCCGAATGGCCAGAAATAATATTGACTGGAAATTGACTAAAGCAATGCAATTGTTCAGATCAGATCTTTTCACAGGACTGCAGACAGAAGCATCCTTAGTGTTGTGTTAATTTTTTGGAATGATAAATTCAGCATCACAATGGAAGCTCCACCCCACTTGGACTTGATTGCCTGCCCCTGTCACCTGTGATTGTGGCTAATTCAGTAATGAAAATAGGAGAAAGTTACAGAAAGAGCAACCTGCTTTAGGGGTTGGTGAACTGTATTTTAGATGCTGTCAAGAACTGGGGAAATCAGGAGATTAGGATAGTTCAAATGAGCATAAAGATTTATTGTAAGCTTAAGCTCTTTGCAAGAACCTGGCCAACTAACAGTTAAGAAAGGCATTCAAAATGGGCTAGCCTTGGATTTCTTGCAGGCACGCAGCGACTCGTGACTGATGACATGTTTGACCCCTCCCTCATGCTCAGCCTGGGCACCTCTTACATCTGCTTTCAGTAACATAAACCTCATCAACCTCAGTCACATTAATGTTTCTAGACATCTTTTATTTCAATTATTATTGATTGGAGTCTGTTGTGAAGTTTCCGAAAGATGCCCTAATTAATTCATGAGCCATGAGCCGAACTTCAAAAGAAATACAGTCATATTAGGAGCACCATTTCGGCAATATTCGGATGCAGTTAGAACTAATCCCATGTAGATTTACATTCTCCTATGACCCTGTCTCTCCCCTCCTCTCTGGCCATGTCATAAATCACATTCTCCAATTAACCACTTTGGCTGGCTGTGAAATCCAACACCCTCCTTCTGACTGCGGTCAGGAAGAATGTATGGAATGCACTTCAGTTAGGGAAATCAATCAGCTCTATCAGTTCTCCCTCCCTCCTGCTCATGGCAACTTGAAAGATTTGCAAGTTGACATCCGTCTTGGCTGAAGAAGACTGTCCATCTTGAAAAAAATAATCAATTGATTCCCCCCCCCAAAGTTCCATATACAAACAATAGTGGGAAACACAGCATCACATTGAACAATGTGAACAGTCAATCTGATTTTTCTACATTTATTAAACCACTTTCCAAAATAGAAATCTGCAAATTAGCCTCTGAAAGAATTATGGGTTTTGTCTTAATGGGCTGAAATATAATGATTGTTTGTTCACTTTTCAGCAAAGTTTGAGTCTTGAATCATGTGGTGTGTTTAAGCTTTCCTGAGAACATTGATAAAATGTTGGAATTCATTGTTGGAATGTATTTCTATGCAACAACTTCAGTAGTATTCAGTAGACTAGATGGCAGTGTTTACAAGTTTAGTTCTATGCTCTTTTGTTCTAAGTAGAGTTTTCTGTTTCCTGGTAGAGTTAAACAGTTGAGCAGTAAAGCACATGGTGACTATCCTTTATGTGCTCTGTGGTGCTATATATAAACAGAATTTCTAACATAAAATGATCTTTCTGGCCAATTCTTTTGCAGCGCTATATTGATAAAGGCAACAGAACGTACACATGGACTGCGGTGAATGGCACGGATTACAGGTAACCAATTAGGGATATATTTTTTTCAAAACAAACAAACAAGGTTAAAATACCATTGTTCCTAACATTTCAAGAGTAAAAGTATCCTATAATATCTGTTGGATGGCTAGCTTGTTTGGCAACCTTCTGAAAAACAGGATGAAAATCAAGGTAGAATCTTTTTCCTTGTATACCTTTGTAACCAGTTTGTCTTTGGAAAAGTTTATGTGGAAAATGATTTAAGCTTCCTAGTGTAAGTTCTGTGAATATTTAATCTTTCCCTAAGGATTCTGGATAATTCTTCCCTAAATTCCTCTTTAGCCCTCATCTTTCTTTTCCCCTCACCTTTTCAAAAGGTAGAAAGGTAGGAGAATTTTCCCTGATCTTAGAGATAAATTTATTCCAGGGCCATCATAGATGCTAACTCAGGCATCTATGTGCAGCCTTTATCTGATTTTTTTTTATTACTCATACAAACATTTAGTAATCACCATCTATTTATTTAATCCTTGGTTGTAAAAAGAGAGCCATAGAATCAAAATCACATGAAGTATTAGTACCACTTTATAAAGCCTTAGTAAAACCACACCTGGAATACTGCTCCAGTTTTGGCCACCACATTACAAAAAAGAAATTGAGACTTTGGAAAAAGTGCAAAGAGCAACTAAGATGATTAAGTGCCTGGAGACAAAAACATATGAAGAACGGTGGCAGGAATAGGGTATGGCTAATCTAGAGAAAAGAAGGATTAGGGAGGGACATGATAGCAATATTCCAGTATTTGAGAGGCTGCCCCGAAGAAGAGAGGAGTCAACTTATTTTCTAAAACACCAGAAGGCAGTACAAGAAACAATGGATGGAAACTAATCAAGGAGAGAAGCAACCTGGAATTAAGGAGAAACTTCCTAATAGTGAGAACAATTAACCAAAGGAACAAATTGCCTTCAGAAGTTATAGGCACTCCATCACTGGAGGTTTCTAAGAAGATATTGGATAACTATTTGTCTGACATGGTATAGGGTCTCCTACTTGAGCAGGGGTTGGATTAGAAGACCTCCAAGGTCCCTTCGAGTTCTATTCTAAATTGTATTATGGCCTATATTTAAACAGTCAAGAAAAGGCTAACAGGGGCATAGAATCAAAATCACGTGAAGTATTAGTACCGTTTTATAAAACTTTAGTAAGACCACACCTGGAATACTGGATCCAGTTTTGGTCATCCCATTACAAAAAAGAGATAGCCCTTTTAGGCATATATCAACCATGGGAAGTTAGGCTGAAAATTGCAATAAATAGAAATGCCTTTTCTGCCCTGGGATTGAAATGCCAGATGTTCAAAAGGTTCCCCCAATTATTTTTCCATGCTTTCTGTACCAAATTAGGAATAAGTCATGTGCTGTGCACGAAAACCTGCTGTTAAAAAAAAAGAGGTGGTAATTGGTTGGAAAGAAGAGAAAATAGAATCAGAAATGGATGAAATATATAGAATAAATTCTCTATTCGCCTGGAGAAAACTACTGAGAGATGTTTAAGTTCACTTTGTAAGAAGTAAAACAACAATTAGAGATAAATGGGAGATTTTCCCATCTCATAATGTACATTGAGCGATGACTAAAAACATGTAATCATTTCTTGTGGTCCCTGAAAATCAGTGACGATGTTCAACTTTTCACCTTTTATGAATCATGGAAGTTGACTTGATTTCTGCACATTGCAGAAGATTGGAGTTGATGGTCCATGTAGTCCCAATTATACAATTCTTTCTGGCCTTGGCAACATAAGCCACCCAGAGTTGTTAGATATGAGATGGACAGTAGATAAATTTCATAAGGAAATAAGTAAATAAACATTCCTGTAGACAAAAAACTATCTAGGTTCATTTACGGTTTTGCAAATTCTATTATTCTTAGAATAGAATAACAGAGTTGGAAGGTACCTTGGAGGTCTTCTAGTCCAACCCCCTGCTTAGACAGGAAACCCTACACCACTTCAGACAAATGGTTATCCAATCTCTTCTTAAAAGCTTCCAGTGTTCACAACTTCTGAAGGCAAGTTGTTCCACTGATTAATTGTTCTCATCGTCAGGAAATTTCTCCTTAGTTCTAGGTTGCTACTTTCCTTGATTAGTTTTCACCCATTGCTTTTTGTCCTGCCCTCGGGTGCTTTGGAGAATAGCTTGACTCCCTCTTCTTTGGGGCAGCCCCTGAGATATTGGAAGACTGCTATCATGTCTCCCCTAGTCCTTCTTTTCATCAAACTAGACATACCCAGTTCCTGCAACCGTTCCTCATATGTTTTAGCCTCCAGCCCCCTAATCCTCTTTATTGCTCATCTCTGCACTCTTTCTAGAGTCTCCACATCTTTTTTACATCATGGCGACCAAAACTGGATGCAGTTTTCCAAGTGTGGTCTTGCAATGATAGAGGGTAAGGGCTACATCTAAATGTATTTAAATAGATCTCCTTTCTAATCAACACTTCCGGTGATGGATTGTTCTGCAGCAATCGAAAGACTGAACTGACCGAGTGGCAATTTCTCTCCAAAGTTAATGCTGATGTTTGCTCATTAGTAACCATTGTTTTCCATTCTGAATTGTAAACAGCCATTTCTCCTGACTTATTACTCTCCCTTTCTCAATGCTGCTTAGCATATATAATATTTCTCCCCAATATTTCTGAAAGATCTTTTGAATTTGGACAACAATAGCTGCGAAATCTCCCGGGAGCCTCAAGGCAATAGGCATATTTATACACACAATTATAGTTTTCAATTAGTTCCATTTTTTTTAAAAAAAAAACAGGAACTGGGAATGGGAAGGAAAATCTCCCTGATTTCCCTTGGCAAATATTAGTGAAAAGATGTCACTAGATAATTAAGAATTCTTCTTCGAGCAGATGAAGTGACAACCGTAATGGCAAAGACAAGATTTATGGTTCAAGAGTTTCTTAGTTTCTTCTTAATGCTAATTTCAGCAGTTATCGCAGGAAATATTAAACAATAAGCATTCCATAGTAATAAATTGGTGGCGGAGCCCAAGAGGGCATAAAATATTCATGATTTAAACATCATTTTGAAAATAGGCTCTAATCTCTGAGGCTGTTTTCGATCTTTCACTGCCTTGTTTAGATATACAAATTAGTTATGTTTTAATTGAAGCCATGCCACCCAGTTCAAAAGTCCTTGCATTTTTTTTTCACTGCAGGAATGATTATTTATTTATTTAGTGTACGATAAGAACATGACAGATGAGAAGTAAACATATATACTCAGTCTACATAATTATAAGTAAAAACTTCTATGGGGGTACAGCAGGGGGTCCTTCTCCAAAGACTCAGGGCGGCTTACAATGTGCTCAGCAATAGCCTTCATCCTTTTGTATATATTTATACAAAGTCAGCTTTGTATAAATTGTGACCCCATGGACAACGTTCCTCCAGGCCTTCCTGTCCTCTACCATCTCCTGGAGTCCATTTAAGCTCACATCAATTGCTTCAGTGACTCCATCCAGCCACCTCGTTCTCTGCCGTCCCCTTCTTCTTTTGCCCTCAATCGATCCCAGAATTAGGCTCTTCTCCAGGGAGTCCTTCCTTCTCATTAGGTGGCCAAAGGATTTGAGTTTCCTCTTCAGGATCTGGCCTTCTAAAGAGCAGTCAGAGTTGATCTCCTCTAGGACCGACCGGTTGGATGGCCTTGCAGTCCAAGGGACTCGCAGGAGTCTTCTCCAGCACCAGAGTTCAAAGGCCTCCATTCTTTGGCCTTCTCAGCCTTCCTTATGGTCCAACTTTCACAGCCATCCATTGCAACTGGGAAAACCATCACCTTGACTATACGATTTTTTGTTGGCAGGGTGACGTTTCTACTTTTTAGTATGCTGTCTAACTTTGCCATAGCTTTCCTCCCCAGGAGCAAGCGTCTTTTAATTTCTTGGCTGCAGTCCCCATGTGCGGTGATCTTGGAAGTTTACCTCTAAGCTGGGGAAAATGCTGTTAAATCTCAAATGAATATTGGATGATTCCTTGATCATAATTATTTGGTTTCTTTCACAGTTTGGCTTTGGTGTTACCATCCTACAGCTTTTACTATATTAAAGCCAAGATTAATGAAACCTTAACTCAGGCAAAGTGTAAGTAACTCTGAACTTTCCCGTGTTCTGACTGCTACGGCCCAGCGAGAATGATTCTGCCTTTGTTGTTGTTTTTTAACACAGCATTTTGAAAGCTTGTGAAATTCACTAATGTTCTCGTAATGTACCCCAAAATGCTACAGCAATGATTCCAAGCCTTTGTGTAGATTTCCAAGCAACAAAAAATATTTCACCCAAGTAGAATACCTTCTGTTACGCTACGGGCAGTGGTGGGATTCAAATAATTTAACAACCGGTTCTCTGCTCTAATGACCAACTGGGTAGGCGTGGCTCAGTGGTCATGTGACTGTGTGGGTGTGGCTAACTCAACGTTACTCACGTTGATGGGCGCTTCGCCTTAGCTGTTACAATGTAACAAGGGTTAACCAGAGAGGCAGTTTCTGTAAGCAGGGCAATAAAGATTAGGCTAGAAACAACTCCAGAATGTTTCCTTCCTGCCTTCCTTACAGGATTAGCCCTGTAAAGTGGAAAAAAAACAAAATAAGATTTCTTCCAACAACCGGTTCTCCGAACTGCTTAGAAAGTTAACAACCGGTTCTCCCGGATAGGTTTGAACTGGCTGAATCTCACCACTGCCTACGGGCTTTAACTAAATCTTAATCTCTTGGTTTTCGTACACAGAGAATCATTGCTTTGCATATCCTCTGTTGTCTTTTGTAGGGTCTGATAGGTAAATGTTTTGAATAACTCACCAATGGGTTGTAAATTGCGTAGTTGGAAATCCAGCAAAGCTGCTTTGTAGGATGCACAGCTGCGACCTGTGAAATGGTTACTTCATTCTAGATGTTTATGAAGATTTTCTTAGACTTAAAATAACTCGATTGTCACTTTAAATGTACACTAATCGGCATACATTAAAATGTCCATGGAGATTCTCTGTCATCCAGGTCATGGTTGTCCCAAAAGTGCTTTTTTTAAGAGGCAACTGGGCTTTCTGGTTTTTCTGTCAGAACTGAGGAAGCTTCTTGGATGAGAAGTGAAATGTCTTCAAATAAAAAACAGAAAGTCCAGTTGCCTCTTGAAAAAGCACCTTTGGGACATATCTTAAAATGAAATGTCATTGCATTCAGCCCCCAAAGAGTCACCACTTCCAATATACACTACATAAACATGACTAACTAAATAAATAAAAAAATGGGCACCTACCCACATATATGATGTGACACCACCATCCAAATCATGGTTGTCCCAAAAGTGCTTTTTCAAAAGGCAAACTGGACTTGTTTTCTCCTTGAAGACGTTTCACTTCTCATCCAAGAAGCTTCTTCAGTTCTGACAGAATTGAAGAAACTTCTTGGATGAGAAGTGAAATGTCAAGTCATGGTTGTCCCAAAGGTACTTTTTCAAAAGGCAACTGGGCTTTTTTTATATATAGTTTTTCCTTGAAGACGTTTCGCTACTCATCCAAGAAGCTTCTTCGGTTCTTGGATGAGAAGGGAAATGTCTTCGAGGAAAAACAAAGTCCAGTTGCCTCTTGAAAAAGCACCTTTGGGACAACCATGACCTGGATGACAGAGAATCTCCATAGACATAAACTGGAGAAGAATACTTTAAAGGTCACTATCCTTTTAACTTAAAGACATTATTTTGCTTACATGCAAGATCAATATAACATAGAATCAATTCTTTTAATTTTTTTGGCACTCAGCTTCGAACCAGATTTAGCTTCAAAAAGAAGCACTCGCTGGATTGCGCACCAAAAGAGAACAGATTCCTGTGAAAATCTGTGACATTCAATACGCCCAATATCCTAGCTTAGCAGGCAAATGTTAGTCACTCTATTTTTGGAAGCCATCTTCAAAACTGGTTTAATCCTTTTGCCGGGTTTTATTTAACTCTTCAGAGCCTCTTTCGATGTTTGCATCATTCATATTGCCCACATTGGGTTAGAAATCTGTCAATTTCTAGGCCTGGTGGCTTCAGCAGACTAAAAGCATTGTGATTAACACCAGCTGTCTGCAATTACTGTAAGTTCGAATCTCACCAGGCTCAAGGTCGACTCAGCCTTCCATCCTTTCTAAGGTGGGTAAAATGAGGACCCGGTTTGTGGGGGCAATAAGCTGACTTTGTATAAATATACAAAAATATGAAGGCTATTGCTTAGCGCATTGTAAGCCGCCCTGAGTCTCCGGAGAAGGGCGGCATATAAATCAAATTTTAAAAAATATTTTAAAAATTAATCCTTAAATTTCTATTATCTGTCTTTTTTAAAACTAATTAATTGATTGAATTAAAGTCGATTCCCCTAAAGCAGGGGTGGGCAACTGTGGCCCTTTTACAACCTGTGCACTTCAACTCCCAGAATTCCTGAGTCAGTTTAGCTGTATCAGGAATTCTGGGAGTTGAAGTCCACAGGTTGTAAAAGGGCCACAGTTGCCCACCCCTGCCCTAAAGTATAAAATAGCAGGTCGAGGCAGATCTACAGAGATCTGTAGGCATAAACCACGGAGCTGGGTTTGAATTATGGGAAACTAGGAATTTTGAAATTCTAATTTCTTCGCTTGTAGTGACTTACTGCTCTGAGGTTTCTCTGCAGTAGAAATTTGGGACATCTGGAAACTTTTATGCCATTCTTCAGGGGAACCTGAAAAATGTTCAAGAAAGCAACTCAAAGTTCCAATATAAGCCCTCCATCCTTGGGCCAGCTGCAATAAAAGTCAAAATGGGGGGCTATGATCACATGAATAGCACTCTTCCCCTTTTTTTATGTATGTGCACAATTCATTTCTCAACATTTTGTAAAATAAGACGATCCGATGAATGCCTTGCTAAAAATTTTGAGAATGAGTTTCACCGTTACACAGTCTGTAGAAATAGCCACAGTATACAGAAGTACAGGGAGTCCTTGTCTAACAACAGTTCATTTAGTGACCTTTCAAAGTTACAACGGCACTGAAAAAAGTGACTGACAGTTGTTTTTCACTCTTATGGCCCTGGCAGCATCACCATGGTCATGCGATTTACATTTTTGATGTAACTGATTCAGATTTATGACGGTTACAGCATCCCGGGATCATACGATTCCCTTTTGCGACCTTCTGGCCAGCAAAGTGAAGAGGGAAGCCAGATTCACTGAACTACCACATCACTAATTGAATCAACTGCAGTGATTCACTTAACAACTGTAGCAAGGAAAGTTCTCACTGAGCAACACAAATTCTGGGCTCAATTGTGGTCGTACATCAAGGACTAGTTGTCTGTTGACCAGAAACATGCACCAAAATTTCGGAAATACTGTTGTTGTTTTCCTCCAGAATACAGCTGTACAAAAACTGAACCTGCGATCTCTCTCTCTCTCTCTCTCTCTCTCTATCTCTGTCTGTCTCTCTGTGTGTCTCTTTCTCTGTCTTTGTCTCTCTTTGTCTCTCTCTGTGTGTGTGTGTGTCTGTCTTTCTGTGTATCTCTGTGTATCTCTCTGTCTCTCTGTCTCTCTCTCCGTCTCTCTTTCTGTCTTTGTCTCTCTCTGTCTCTCTGTGTGTGTGTGTGTGTCTGTCTTTCTGTGTATTCTGTGTATCTCTCTGTCTCTCTGTCTCTCTCTCCGTCTCTCTTTCTCTTTCTCTGTCTTTGTCTTTTTGTCTCTGTCTCTCTGTCTCTTTCTCTCCTTCTCTCTCTGTCTCTCTCTGTCTCTCTGTCTCTGTCTGTCTCTCCTTCTCTCTGAGTCTTTTTGTCTCTCTCTCTCTTTCTCTCTCTCTCTCTCTCTGTGTGTCTGTCTCTCTTTCTCTCTCTCTCTCTGCCACAATATTTTTATTCACGTTGGCTAGTTGAATAAAATATTGGCTTGTGACCCCTTTTGTTTTACCCTGTTTTTTTTTTCCCTGTTTTCTTGCCTTCTCTTTCTGATGGATAATCACAGTCCTAAAGGGCAAGTATATAACATTCTTGTTGCTAATTTCCCTCTGTGCATTGTTGTTGATGTTTGTCATTTGTGTTTCATTTTTCCTCTCGGCTGCCACCCTTTGTATTGGTCCCCAAAAGGTTTTGTTTTTCTCCCCCCCAATGCCGGTTGGATATTATAAAGGCAAAAAAAGGCTAAACATCTCTACAATGACATGACACCTCCCTTCCCTTTGCCCCATTTTTGTGTTACAGCATCTTGTCACTCTCTGATCCTTGCGTGTTCACTCCTTCCCCTTGTTGTTTTGCAAACAACCTTCATTTTATTTCCGGTCTGGAACCTTTATGCGTTTCAGCAATCCTGAAATGCAATGATGGTCTAAATCAATTGAGTTAGAGACCCCTTTTGCAAACGCTTTTTGATTTGAGTTTGGTTCTCCTATCCGTGTAAGTTTCGATTGCTATGTGTGTCTATTTAATCTGGGCATTCTTGATGGAGGTGGCAGAGAATGCGACCACGCATTCATCATCCCACAATTGCAAATGACAAAAAAAGGGCTGCTGTGATGTCACAGTGCTCATTCTGTTTCCTTTGTACACCTGGCTTAAGGGCAGAGCTTGCATTGTGACATCACAACACACCCGTTTCTTCACCCTTTGCCCGAATCTCTGGATTCAATCGACGCCTCTGACAATCCTTCGGCTCACTTTTTAAGTTGCAACAATTTTAGGTCGGTGTTTGTTTTTCCCCAAGTTGCTATTTTATAATTGGATCTATTCCACATCTAATATGAAAAACGCTGATCTTAAGTTACGGTCATTAAGAAAAGAACATTGAATACGGTCGTCTTTCATCTGGATTGTCTACGAAGACTGGCCACGGCGCCTTACATAATCTACTGAATTAAATGTGGAATTCATCCAGGTGTTTTGGGGGTTAAAACATTTTCGCCCGTCGATCAATGCTGTCAAAGAGGTGAATTTCGTTCATTCAATGTTTCGCTTTTCTCTTTGCAGTTATTGCCACTCTCAAGCGGGAATCCTTTGACGAATTTGGATATACGTTCTTAGCACCCAGGTTAGTCATTTATGCTGGTCAATCTTCATCTTGCCAAATATTAAATAATATCTTTTGATTGACGTAGTAACTACTTCTGGGAAAATAGGACTATCTGTTGTGGCTCCGTTACCTGAGCCTGTGTCACCGGCAGGAGAGGACTCCGAGAGTGAAGGAGAGGAGTTGGCAAGGCCTCCCTCTCCAGGACCCTCCTCTCTGGCAATGCCTTCGGTGTCAGCCGAAGGGCAAGAGATAGGGCCGGGGCCAAGCATGTCCACGCAGCCACAGATGGATAGTGATGAGGGTAATGAGTCTTGGCTGGATCCTCGGCAGCGTCGCAGAGATAAGTGCGTGCAACAGAAGAAAAGGCGTGCCAGAGATTAGGCTGAGTCACTGGACCACACCCCACAGGGTATAAAAGGGGGTGAGGTGGCCATTCAGACTCTGTGACGGACAAAACTAACTACTATCGAGTCACATTGCATCTGTGGAAACAACATTATTGGCCTTGGATTTATTTTACGAAATGGACAATTCTTGACTGTGTGTATTTTGTTTATTGAGTAAAAGTTCTTGGCAAGCAGCTACTCGGTTGCTGCCAAGCGTCTTATCGGAAGAATTGGTTGTCTGCCAGTTTATTTAACCCCCGGCTGTCTGTTTGTGTGTGTGTGTGAGACGGGGACAGAACACTATCTAATAAAGTAGAGCAAGTCAAGATTAAGTCCCTACTGAATTAAAGAATAGATTGTGAAGAAATATTGCATCCAGTTTTGGTTGCCACAATACAAAAAAGATTTTGAAGCTCTAGAACCGTGATGGCAAACCTATGGCATGCATGCCCAAAGTGGCACACAAACCCATGTCGCCCAGCACGCATGGCCTTGCCTGTTTGTCTTCTGGGTTTCTGGTGCGCATGTGTGCGCGACGATTAGCTGTCCTTCGAATGTAGCAGTGTCGAAAACTGGCATGTGCATGAATGCCAGCCAGCTGATTGTCGGGTGCCCATGCGCACCAGAACCCGGAAGTTCAGCTTTTCCGGAGTGCGATCCCTTTGTATGCATGGCAGTGCTGAAAACTGGCCTATGCATGTGCACCGGCCAGCTGATCATCAGGTGCGCATGTGCGCTAGAACCTGGAAGTTCGGCTTTTCCGGAGCGCAGCCCGACGAATGCATACGTGCAACATTTCCGCATGACCTTTTGGCACTCGGTGCCGAAAAGGTTCGCCATCACTGTTCTAGAAACAGTGCAGAGAAGAGCAACAAAGATGATGAGGGGACTGGAGGCTAAAACATATGAAGAACGGTTGCAGGAACTGGGTATGTCTAATCTAATGAAAAGAAGGACTAGGGTTGATATGACAGCAGAGCATTGGGATGAAAATTTCATCTTTTTCCTTTACTTTTTTTAGGGACTATTGTAGCACAGTGAAAATAACAGACAATAATACTGTATTTCTTCAGAATTTCATTGAATTTATGGATCAATATTCACCCGAAAACCCTTCATGTAAGTATGGCCTTTTCAATAGATTGCTCTCTGACAATAACGCTGAAGGTGCATCAGTTTAATTAACACGCAGTAATGGAATCAAACAAGTGGGAATGTTCTGAGATAGATGGACCGAGATCTTACCGATCTTGTTCCTTCGCTAGTAATTTATTAATAGTCGATGAATCATTCTCTTCTCTCTTCTCTTCTCTTCTCTTCTCTTCTCTTCTCTTCTCTTCTCTTCCCTTCCCTTCCCTTCCCTTCCCTTCCCTTCCCTTCCCTTCCCTTTCCTCCTCTCCTCTCCTCTCCTCCTCTCCTCTCTTTCCCCCTCCCCCTTCCTCCCCCTTCCTCTGTTCTTTCCCTTCCTCCTCCTCTCCTCTTCTCTCCTTCTTTTATCCTTCCTTCCTTTCTTCTTTTATCCTTTCCTCTCCCCTCCCCCTCTCCTCTTTTTTCCTTTCCCTTCTTTTCCTTTCTTTTCCTTTCTTTTCCTTTCTTTTCCTTTCTTTTCCTTTCCTTTCCTTTCCTTTCCTTTCCTTTCCTTTCCTCTCCTCTCCTCTCCTCTACTCTCCTCTCCTCTCCTCTCCTCTCCTTTCCTTCTTTTATCCTTCCTTCCTTTCTTCTTTTATCCTTTCCTTTCCTCTCCTTTTTTTTCATGGTAGGTAATGGTTTGGTGATGAGAGCTTTGTTGGATGCAGGCTTCACAAGTGACCTGGTCCAGAATTACTGGAGTAAACAGGACCCGTGAGTATTCCTTCTTTGCTTCCTCTATCCCAGGCCATGAATAGCTCTATTATTTCTGAATCCTGATGCTGCCTTCAGCTATCAGATCAGAACTTTCTGTTTGAACAATCCAGTCAAAAGAATAGAATTCTTTATTGGCCAAGTGTGATTGGGCACACAAGGAATTTGTCTTGGTGCATACGTTCTTGGTGTACCTAAAAGACAAGATACATTCGTCAAGAATCATAAGGTACAACACTTAATGATAGTCATAGGGAAACAGTCAATATAAATCTTAAGGATACCAGCAACAAGTCATACAGTCATAAGTGAGAGGAGATGGGTAATAGGAACGAAATAACACGGTAAGACGAAGGATCTGCACGTTCATTGTTCTGCTTTAGAGGAACATTCTAAATGAGCTCTACAGAATCCTGGCCTGTTCTTCTCAACTGATGTTGATCTAAAAATATTTCTCTTTTCCAGGGAGGGAATCACGGCACGCTTCGTAGCTACAGATGGAGGGATCACCAGAGTATATCCCAAAAGGTAAGAGGGTCATTTCATCTTCAGTAGTGGTGAGTTTGCTAATGAGTCATGTGCTCAAACATCTGACCTGAGGCCCAGAATTGCTGCAAAAGTCCCACCGACACGGTGGGAATGAACAATTAAAATCTATACTCCCTGCATACAAGACCTTAGTTGAAATCAATTTGAGAAAGGCTTCCTCTAAAAAGTGATTGCCACTGGTTATTAATGTCAACTCGCAAAGCATCCCTGGCCTGCTCTCGAGTTGCCATAGGCCAGAGGGGATGGGAAACCAGTGAAACAGCATGGCAGCCAAAGACAGATGCACATTCCATGCTTCTCTCTCTCAAGGCTGTATCCCAGGGTTACCTACAGCAGCCAGAGGGGAGTGACCTCTACAACCTGCAAAATTGCTCCATTGGCGAATGTGATTGATGACACACCCTGGAGGGAGGGGGGAAACAGTGTCATAATTGGGGCATAAATTACATAGGGTCAGAGCTGGCTTCACGTGGGAACATGCCGACATGAAGCTCCTAATAAATAACTGGATTTCTTTTGAAGCTTGGCTCGAGGCTCATGATTTAATTTGGGCATCCAGTCGGGACCCTGACAATTTGATCTTCAAAGTAAATAAAAGACTTGTTGATCTGTAAAATTTATAACGGTAATTCTCTCAAAATCCAAAACATGAGTTTTGAACGTACTTCCCCCCGCACACACACACAATTTAAAGCATACCCCACTCCCAAAAATATTGAATCTTATTTATGTAGCATGTTTGAGTTCCAGCATGCTCCTTAAGACCTTTTCTGAAAATGTATCAGAGGTGGTATTTGCCGATTCACTGAACTACTCAAAATTTCCGCTACCGGTTCTCCGAACTGCTCAAAACCTCCGCTACCAGTTCTCCAGAACCTGTCAGAACCTGCTGGATTTCACCCCTGATCCAGGCCCATCCACAGTTGCCACTACCGGTTCGCCCGAATACCACCCGAATACCACCTCTGGGTCCAATCAATCCACTGTCCCAACTGGAGATGTTCCCCCAGTCACACCTCTCCAGGTGTAGGCTGAACGTCCTTGATTCCCAAAGAAAGGAATATTGTTATGACTATATATCTCCACCAACTCCATGCAAACCCCCCTCCCGTTTTCCCACAGCACTAAGTGTGGCAACCCTGAAGATCCCAAGAAAAAGATGGACTCCAGGGCTGACATTTGGCTCTCTGCCTTGAGTAACAACTGCCTTACTAGCATTTAAACAAACAAGCAAAAAAAATACCCAGTAAATTACAATTAAAAAATTAATATCCGTGTCTTACGTTTAGTGCAGGCGAATATTGGACAGAAAATGCGGAAACCTATGAACAGAGCTTCTACAAAAGGAGTTTAGATAATGAAAATTATATCTTCACGGCTCCATTCTTCAACCGTAAGTCACTGGGCACTCAGAATATTCAGAATTTTCTTCGGCAGTGCAGGTTCTACCGTGTTTCCTTGAAAATAAGACCCTGTCTTATATTATTTTGAACCCTGAAATAAGTGCTTGGCCTTATTGCCATGCCCTCAAAAGCCCGATTGGGCTTATTATCAGAGGATGTCTTATTTTGGGGGAAACAGGGTATTATTTTTTTTTAAAAAAAAGTTTTTAAATATAGTTCAGATCCAGTTTGTTAATGAAATATGGGATGACATCTAGGAGAATTACTGTTAGTTAACAGGTTGGACTTTGCAAAGCCAGCAAGATTCTTTTTAAATGAAATGATAAACAAAATAGCAATAGCCCTTAGACTTATATACCGCTTTACAGTGCTTTCCCGCCCTCTCTAAGCGGTTTACAGAGTCAGCATCTTGCCCCCAACACTCTGGGTCCTCATTTTACCGACCTTGGAAGGACAGAAGGCTGAGTCAACCTTGAGCCAGTCAGGATTGAACTCTTGACCATGGGCAGAATTAGCCTGCAATACTGCATTCCAATCCACTGTGCCATCACAGCTAAGCGGAGAATGGTTTATATTACAAGCAGAAAATTTAATAGTAACCTTCAATTCTGTAATTGTTTATAGTTTAACACCGATCTGTTGCAGTACCTATTCTGGATAGCATGTGCACAACTTAGAAATTGATACACAAAGTGCAATTTTAGATAAATCTGAAAGAAAGAAAAAAGGATACATAAAGGCTGTAAAGTAATATTTCCTACAAATTTACCAATACTGTAATGTCCAAATAACAATCATTATTACAGAGCCCACCTAAATCCTACTAAACTATTCAGTAACATGTTCCTTTTTGTTTAGGGTTCGAATACAGATGTGGGTGGAATGGTGTCTTTTGGGAGTTAATCTGAACAGGAGAAAACATGAAAAAAAAGACTTGTCTTGAAATTCAAAATAAGGGGGATGAATGATTGATTCCTAATGGGCCAGTCTCACCTAAGTGCTGTCGGTGCTATTTATCAATAGCAAGAGACTTTTATCAAGAGACATGTCATAATGGCAAGTCAACTCTATTTTCTTTTTCTGAACCTCAGGAAGCATCTATGAAGATGGGATCATGGTAAGCAAGGCTGTGAAGATCACCTGTGAATGGAAAACTTCTAAAACCAGCAGGTAGGAAAGAAGTTATATCTCGTCGTTATAACAGTCAATAACGAGTTATAAGATATAACATGTTATTGAACATAGTAATTTCAATGTCCGTAAAACAAAGGCAGCATTCAGAATCATCTAAGGGGATGAGCTTTGAATTCTGGAGGCCAAGAAATTCCCATAATGGTATAAGAAAAGAAAAAGCATTTCCAGAAGATAGATAGATAGGTAGGTAGGTAGGTAGATGATAGATAGGATAGATAGGATAGATAGATGATAGATAGATAGATAGATAGATAGATAGATAGATAGATAGATAGATAGATAGATAGATAGTATAGATAGATAGTCAGGTAGGTAGGTAGGTAGGTAGGTAGTAGGTAGGTAGGTAGGTAGGTAGATGATAGATAGATAGATAGATAGATAGATAGATAGATAGATAGATAGATAGATGATAGGTAGGTAGGTAGATAGATAGTCAGGTAGGTAGGTAGGTAGGATAGATAGAGATAGATAGATATAGATAGATAGATAGATAGATAGATAGATAGATAGATAGAAAGATAGATAGATAGATAGATGATAGGTAGGTAGGGTAGATAGTCAGGTAGGTAGGTAGGTAGGATAGATATAGATAGATAGATAGATAGATAGAAGATAGATGATAGGTAGGTAGGTAGGTAGATGATAGATAGGATAGATAGATGATAGATAGATGATAGGTGGGTAGATAGATAGATAGATAGATAGATAGATAGATAGATAGATAGATAGATATTTAGATGATATATAGGAACATAGATATACCAGTAGATGATAGGTATAGATAGGTAGTCAGATAGATAGATAGATAGATAGATAGATAGATAGATAGATAGATAGATAGATAGATAGATAGATAGATAGATAGATAGATGAGAGAGAGACAGAGAGAGAGAGGAGTAGTCCTCAATTTATGACCACAATTGAGCCCAAAATGTCTGTTATTACATGAGACATTTATGAAGTGGGTTTGCCCCATTTTATGATTTTTCTTGCCATGGTTGTTAAACGAATCACTGCAGTTGATAAATTAGTAATCTGGTTGCTAAGTGAATCTTGCTCCCCCATTGACTTTGCTCATCAGAAGATACACAAAACAGGATCAAGTGATCCCAGGACTCTGCAACCATCATAAATATGAACTGGTTGCCAAGCATCTGAATTTTGATCATTTGACCCTGGGGATGCTGCAATGGTCGTAAGTGTGAAAAATGGACCTAAGTCCCATTTTTCAGTGCCGTTGTAACTTTGAACGGCCACTAAACGGACCATCGTAAGTCGAGGACTACCTGCGTATCATTTTGCCATGTTGATACATTCGTTTTTCTCATGCTACCTGTATTTCTTGTCAGTTGTTGGAGTAAAAATCAATCTGAACAGCTGGATGACAAATTTCACTACAATCACCACGAAAGACCAGGTGAGTTTCGTAGGCTTCACTTCCAGTTTTTCCAGAGCTGCTTCTTGCAATCTTAGCAGCTCTGCTTGTATAAAACATTAGAAATGCTGAACCAAAACCTGTATGGCTTCCACCATGTTGATGTTCCATAAAGCTTGAAGATCTGGTTCTTCTCCTAGACCCGTGATGGTGAACCTATGGCACGTGTGCCACCTGTGGCACGCGAGTGTTGCCCTAGCTCAGCTCCAGCGGGCATGTACATGCTGGCCAGCTGATTTTTGGCTCTTCCGGTCCCACTGTAAGTCGGGAAATGGGCCGTTTCCAGCCTCTGGAGACCTTTCAGGGGGGTGGTAAAGGCCGTTTTCGCCCTACACAGGCTCTTTAGAAAGCATCTGGAGCCTGAGGAGGGTGAAAAATGGGCCTTTCAGTCCCACCGGAAGTTGGGAAATGGGCCTTTTCCGGCCACCAGAGGGCCTCCAGGGGCATGGGGAAAGCCGTTTTCGTCCTCCCCAGGCTCCAAGAAAGCCTCTGGAGCTGGGGAAGGACAAAAACACAGTCCTACCCGTCCCACCGTGCCATCACATACCAAAAGTGGGGGGAGCGCAGGGAGGTTGCACACAAATGATTGGGGACAGGACACATTGAATTATGGGTGTGGACACCCACGCGCAATCCCCCACACACACTCCCCTGCTTTTGGCACGCGACAGCAAAAAGGTTAACCATCACCCAGAACTTCGGGTCTCCGCCAAAAGAGCGGTATAAAATAAGAATTTATGGGTTTCTTGGCCCCAACATCTGCTTAATCTTGGGAAACTATCTCCCAACTTGGATAATGCCGTGCATATTGTGTCTTCGTTGTTTTCGAAAGAGGAGTGGTTTTATGAATGCGCTGTTTCTTACATTTTTTTTTCAGTGTAAAAGTGGAAGTGAGCTTTGCGGATGTGAAAAGAACAGTCCGGTAAGAGATGCAATAGATTATTTCTTTCAGCCGAATAAACTTGTCGTTAACATCTCATCTGTTTTAAAGGTTGATAACGGGACAAGTATGTCATGTAGTTTTGGACTCTCGAAGCAGCCATGTCAGCGTTAAGCATTAATATTATTGCAGGATCCAATCTGGGTCGGTCATTGGGACCGGAGGTTTTGTCTTCCGAGCTTTCGGACTCGTGCTGGAATCCTTCCTCAGAGAATTTCTCTCTTAGCAGTGTGTCATGCCCCCATCAGAGCCTGAATCTGCAGAGGAAGTCAAGCCGGAACTGGAGCAGATGGAAATCGAGGGGGCGGCTTTGTTGGCTTTGGAGAAAAATGGGGAGGGGCACGCTGAGTCAGGCCAGGGCCTTTCAGGATTGGGATGGCTTGTAGGCAGGGAGGAAGGGGAAGCAGGATGACCAGGGGAGGCTAAGCAGTGAACATGAGAGACAGAGCTCAAGGGATGCGCAAGGACCACCCCCTCCTGATCCTCAAGCATGGAGAGTGGAGAGAAGGCGAGAACAGCACAGACTTGAGCACCAAGCCCCTCTTCACAAAGCACACTTGAGGACTGAGACTTAAGGAGACGCTGTGGGGAGGTTTGTCAAGAACAAATGCTGAATTCCTGGAGTATTGAGCGTTTGAACTTTCCTGGATTCCTTGCATTCTTTCTGGATTTCTTGCTTTGCAGCCATGGCTGCAGAAAAACCTTGGTTACATAGGAAAAACCTGGCTAAAAGAAAAAAACATGATGTCAGCGTCCCAGCACTGACATATATAAAGAGAGGAGAAGCTTGAACTTTTGCCTACTAAATCCCTTTGAAGATTCTGTCTCCTCAGAGATGGGAGAGGGGGGGAGACATTCCTGTGATCTGACGAAGAAGAGATCAGGAAAGTGACTTGGAAGATAGCCAATGAGAAGCAGAGAATTGGGGATCGGAAAGGGAGGGATTGGGAGCAAAGGTCAGTACTGACCGCGAAAGAGCCAGGATCAGATCGCTGTGCTCAAATAAAGAGAAAATTTCCTTAAAGATCGGCAGTTTGGAAATTCATTTATTTTGAGATAGCATCGAAACCTGACAGACGGTCAGTATATATATTGCCACTAAAAAGGCACCAGGTCTTATTTTCGGGGGATGTCATCCCCTGACTAACCTCACTTGCGCACGTCACCCATTGCCTCCTTTTCGCTGTCAGAGGCCTTCAGGAACTTCTTCTGCGACCGGCAAGGCTTTGCTGAAGGCCTCTGCAGCCGATAACAGAGCTTTGGATCGATCCGGAGCTTTGTTATCAGCTACAGAGGCCTTCAGGAAAGCCTTGGGCTACCAAGGCAGGTGTCGGGGTGCGCAAGGCCTGGCTACAACTGTCCAAAGGTAAGTAGTAGGGCAGCTCCACCCCTACATCCCCACCTTAGCTTAATTTTTACCCCTGCACTCTGTAGTGAGCAGGATCTTAATTAGGGCTTATATTAGGCTCACGTGTAAAAATCAAGCTAAGACTTACTTTCAGGGTAGATCAAATTTATGGGGAAAAGGGGTATAACTGGCAGTGTTTTATACTCCAAAGGACATGATTATCTCACCTGTGAATAAGATCCTGCATTATTATTTTTCTGTTTATGCAGGTAGTCCTCGACTTACAACGCTTCATTTAGTGACTGTTCAAAGTAACAATGGCAACTGAAAAAAGGGACTCACAGACACTTTTCACACAACCATTGCAAATATCCCCAGGATCACGTGATCACCATTCAGATCCTTGGCAACTCACTCACACTTATGACGGTTGCTGTGTCCCGGGGGGGGTGGGGGGGTGTCACGTGATTACCTCTTGCGACCTTCCGATGAGCAAAGACAACGGGGAAACCAGATTCACTTAACCAGCCATGTTACTAACTTAAGAGCTGCAGTGATTCACTTACCCACAAGTGGCAAGAACGGTCGTAAAATGGGGGCAAAATTTACTGAACGAATTAGCAACATTTTGGGCTCGGTTGTCGTTGTAAGTCGAGGGCGACCTGCATTCGACAGGAAGGTAAATTTCAATAATTGTTTTATTATATTTTGTTATATTCTTTTTTCTTCTAGCACATTGACTGTGTCATTCTTGACGATGGGGGTTTTCTTTTGATGACAAACCAAGATAACTATGTCCCAGAGGTACGTGATTGGATTAAGCCCTATGCAGAATACCTTATTAATTAAGCAGTATTTTTTTAGGAAATACATCCAGGACAGTGGTGAAATCTGAACCGGTTTGCTACCAGTTTGCTGGCCATGCATGCCTGCTGCACACTAAGTGCATGCTACGTGCATACATGCACAGTATGTCCCAAAAGGAGGCTTGGCAAGGTAAGTAGAACAGACAGCAAGTGGGGGGGGGATCAGCTGTGCCGCGTGATTTAGCTTAGCTAGAAAGCAGGATTTCCTGCTTTCTAGCAAAGCCAAACCATGCGGCACAGCTGATCATCGGAAATACCAGTTCGGAGGAAGCGGTAGCTTTTTTAAACTACCGGTTTGCCTGAACTGGTAGTTTTTATCACTACTGGTTCGCCTGAAACCGGAGTGAACCGGTAGCATTTCACCCCTGATCCAGGAGTTACTTGATCTCTGTTTGAAGACTGACCTTTCTTTGTGCCTTAGATCGGAAAATTCTTTGGGGAGATTGACCCAGGCCTCATGCGAAATCTCATTAATATGTCCTTGTACGCCTTCAACAAGTCTTACGACTATCAGTCGGTGTGCGATCCAGAAGATGAACCGAAACAAGGAGCAGGACTTCGCTCCGTCAATGTGGTCAGTAGGCATTGCACCTTTCCGAAAAAATTCTTTCCCAATGCCTCAGTTAGCAACAGTAATTTGATTCCTATCGCTTTGATTCATTTTTGATTCATATCGCTTTGGCTTTGTTACGATCGCTAACTAATGCCGGTGTCAAATCTAAAATGATGAAAAACCGAGGAAAATAAGAAAGAAAATACATATTGAGAAGGGCATAGAAAGGGTGTAAGGAGCCATGGTGGCGCAGTGGTTAGAATGCAAGATTGCATTCTGCCACTATCTGCAGTTCGATCCTAACTGGCTCAAGGTGACTCAGCCTTCCATCCTTCCGAGGTTGGTGAAATGAGGACCCAGATTGTTGGAGGCAATGTACTGACTCTGTAAACCGCTTAGAGAGGGCTGTAAAGCACTGTGAAGTGGTATGTAAATCTAAGCACTAGTGCTAGTAAGTGACGTCTACAAGGTATTAAAAAGAGATTAAAAGATTGGCAGCAAGTAGAACACCCAGCCTTAGAAATGATGATGAAGAAGATATTGCAATGGTGAACAGCTTCTGCTTTTAATGATCAACCATCAACAGTCAAGAAATACAGTATATCACACACTAAAACAGCTATAAAGGCCTTGGAAATGATATTGAGATGCCATGATGTGTTTACACTTATAAAGATCAGAACTGCGTAAGCCTTGCATTAGATGTCTACAGAAATTCTCAGTCATCCAGGTTATGGTTGTCCCAGAGATACTTTTTTCAGAGGCAACTAGACTTTGTTTTTTCCTTGAAAATGTTTCTCTTCTCTTCTGAGAAGAAGCTTCTTGGATGAGAAGAGAAAGGTCTTCAAGAAGTGAAACATCTGAAGAAGCTTCTTGGATGAGAAGAGAAAGGTCTTCAAGAAGTGAAACATCTGAAGAAGCTCCTTGGATGAGAAGAGAAAGGTCTTCAAGAAATGAAACATATGAAGAAGCTTCTTGGATGAGAAGTGAAAGGTCTTTAAGAAAAAAACAAACCCCCGTTGCCTTTGAAAAAAGCATCTTTGGGACAAGACTTGTGTTACTTCATGGATGTGAAAGTTCGACTTCAAAGAAGATAAAATAAGAAGAGTATTGAGGCCTTTGAACTTTGGTGTTGGAGAAGACTATTGAAGATACCATGGACAACCAAGGAAACAAGCTGATGGACTATGAAACAAATTAACCCAGATTTCTCACTTGAGGTGTAGATGACCAGGCTTACATTATGCTACTTCGGACATGATATGAAGACCCAGCTCTCTGGAGAAGGCTCAGTGGGAGGGGAAAGGTGGGAGAAAAGAGAAGGACAATCAGGAGCAAGATGGATGATGGCCTCACTTACAGTACAGTTACAGTAGCAATGAGGATCAGGGATAGGTTAGGGTTAGAATGTCATGGAGAAAAATCTATGTGGTCACTAAGAGTCAACAGTTGTATAATGTTTGGGTATCCCAAAGCTGCTTTTTCCAAAAGGCAATTGGACTTTGAAATGAACCAAAGAAGCTTCTTGGATGTGGAGTGAAACGTTTTCAAAGAAAATTTCAAGAAAGTCCAGTAGAATGGAATGGAATGGAATGGAATAGAATGGAATAGAATAGAATAGAATAGAATAGAATAGAATAGAATAGAATAGAATAGAATAGAATAGAATAGAATAGAATAGAATAGAATAGAATAGAGAAAGAATACAGTAGAGTAGAGTAGAATAGAGTAGAGTAGAATAGAATAGAATAGAGAAAGAATAGAGAAAGAATAAAATAGAGTAGAGTAGAGTAGAGTAGAGTAGAGTAGAATAGAATAGAATAGAATAGAGAAAGAATAGAGAAAGAATAGAGTAGAGTAGAGTAGAATAGAATAGAATAGAATAGAATAGAATAGAATAGAGAAAGAATAGAGAAAGAATACAGTAGAGTAGAGTAGAGTGGAATGGAATAGAATGGAATAGAATAGAATAGAATAGAATAGAATAGAATAGAATAGAATAGA